TGGAATCATAACTACCGTATATCTCTATATAAAAGCCTAAAAGACTGGTCCATCAGCCGACTAGCTGGTAGCTATAACATGCACTGACCACCAGAGGGCAGATGCTCAATGAAAGAGCAGCAACTTTGCAGAATGCCCTCTTGCACTTCGGGACCCCTAAGGGGATATTGGACTGCCAGTTTTGGCTCATTCTCTGCAGGCTAGGACAAGGGATCCCACTAGTGCAAGAATCCATGCACTGGGCCTCTAGTAATAATTTAACTTCATCTATATATATATAAGGCTAATATGCTAAGTGTCTGACCTTCCGGGTAATGACGTCATGTAGCAGTGCCTGGCTTTGTCTCCCTAGTGACTGACCTCTTTGCAGTTTCTTCAGCTCGGGAACACAACTTGCTTCGTAGCCTGGTGGAAACATTTCACACTTTAACCAAATGTCTGTGAAGTGTTTTCCTGTGCTTCATCTCATTTGATCCTCACAGAAGTCCTGGAGTAGTTAGATAAGAGACTTGGTGGAATATTATTTTCTTTTCATTAGCTGGAAAATGGAGATTTATAAAGCTTAGAAATTTGACCCGACTGAAAAGAAGTGAGAAATGGTGGTCCTTGAAAGTGACTTCAGGTTTTCTCACTGTGCAGGATATAGTCAAACACTACAGTTAAATATTTTAACCTTTCGTTTTCCCTGCATGATCTACAATAATAATCTGCTTCATGTTGATATTTACTGCTGTGTTGCTAACAATTACCTGAGAGAAAAGTTGAGGTTCTTCACTGGGCTGGAAAATGTTTAGCTAAATTAAGCAACGTCTAATTAAGCAAGTTTATTCTATATATGTATAAAAGGCTAAGTTGATTTGCACATGCGCAATATATATGAAGCTCTTGCTGGCGCCAGTCGCATGTGTGTATTTTGATCTGTCATTGTCGATCATAAATTTGGTTGACACTTCTGTTATAGAGAAAGGCCTACTGGTGATACTGAAATACTTCTTCTAATTAATTTCCTTTCAATGTGCATGAATTTGTGCACTGGGCCACTAGTAGCCCAGCTGTAATGATAATAATGAAAAATTATGATGGCCAATCTTTACTTGCTATATGCAAGACATGATTGCAAATGCTTTACATGTGTTGACTCAAGTTCATTTAGTCATTGCAACACCCTCGTGAAGTCGGTGCTTGTATTACCTCATACAGATAGGTCAAAGACATAACTGGGAGATGAAACCAGACAATCTAACTCCCTGGGTCTATCGTCTTAACCCCCATGGTGTTCTGCCTCTTTGGAATGCACTGCAGTGTATGCTCAACAGGTGCTAGTCCCTTTCTTGAGGCATCCATGCTCCTCTAACCTTTACCTCTTGATATCATAGCAGGTGCCCCCAAGCACTTATATGCAAACTAATATCCCAAATAGGTAAGTGGATTTTTTAAAAGATGGCATTTAAATATCAGATATATGGCTTCATAGCTCATTTTAATTGATTAATGATCTGTTTGTAGATTTAATTTTTTTCTAATTTATATTTAAATAATTTTTTTTCAATTACAGTTGACATTCAATATTATATTAGTTTCCGGTGGATAGCACAGTGGTTAGACATTTATGTAACTTATGAAGTGATCCTCAGAAGGTCTTGCACTCACCTATGCAATTGTATTATTGACTGTATTCCCTAAGCTGTACTTTATGTCCCTGTGACTGTTTTGTAACTGTCAATTTGTACTTCTTAATCCCTTCACCTTTTCATCCAGACCCCGAACTCCCTTCTCATCTCATAACCATCATTTTGTTCTCTGTGTCTACGAGTTTGTTTCTGTTTTGTATGTTTGTTTATTTTGTTTTCTTTCCTATTCCACATATAAGTGAAATCATATGGTATTTTATCTTTCTCTATCTGACTTATTTCACTTAGCATAATATCCTTAGGTCCATTGATATTGCCATAAATTGTATGAATTCATGCTTTCAATGACTGAATCATATTCCATTGTTTATATATACCACATCTTCTTTATCTGTTTGTCTTTTGATTAGAGCGTTTAATCTATGTACATTTAAGATAATTATTGATAGGTAGGTAGTTATTGGCATTTTATTGATTTCGTAGTTCTGAGTTTTTTTCTTATTCTCTTGCTCTCTCCTCTTGCATTACTTTCTGTAGTGTTGTATTTGGATTTCTTTTTTTCCTCTCTTGTAGAGCATTGGTTTATGGTTAGCATGTCCTTCATATATATCAAGCTATGTTGTTAGCAGTATGTTTTAAATTGATGCAACTTAAGCTAGAACACATTCTAAAATTACTACCATTTTTACTCACCCTTCCATTGTTTATATTTTATCATTTTTTTTACTTCTTTTTCTTGTGTATGTTTGTGTGTATTTCTTAATTTCCTATTGTAATTATACAGGATCTCCCTACTTTTGCCTTTTAATCTTTGTACTAGTTTTAGTCTAGGTTGATCCACTGCTTTTATTATGTATTTGTCTTTGACAATTTTTTTCTTTGTGATATTTCCGTATTCATATCTTTAATATTTTTTTTTCTTGTTCTTAAAAAAAGTCTGTATCATTTCTTATGATATAGGTGTGGTGGTGATGCAGTCTTTCAGCTTTTTTTTTATGAGGAAGATTTTATTCTTAATTTTAAGTGTATGTGTTTCTGAAAAGTAAGAGAACAACATTCAGAATTTAGGGCACATTTGTAGTTATATCATTATAAACAATGAGAAGTTGTTTACCTTTTTTATTTCTGTGCCTAGAAAATTGTGGGTCCTTGATACATATAGTATGCTTTCATTATTTAACATGTATTAGAAGATACTGACTTTTTTTTAACTATAGACATTCTTAATTTAAAATAATTCTATTTTATTATTCCTAAGAGGAGAGGAGCTATAATCCTCTCATGACTCCTAAGAAAGCTCCAAACACTGGGCTATTTGTTGATTGAATATCTTTGATGCCATCAAATTAGGGACTGACTTCATTGTTTCTTTTCTCTAGATGAAACACAGAGATCTAATGAGTTTTGTAAAAATTCTTTCTATATGTACAAAAGGACAGAAACACTTTGTCCTCAGTAGGTCTAATTTGGAATATTAATGCATCACATTGCAGGTGTGAAGAGTGTTGAAGTTAAATTTGCTCAGCAACACAAAAGTAGTGGTTCAAAAGCAAGGACAAATGAAATTCTTAAGAGAACAGCTCAAAATTAGGCTTTACATCAGTGAAGTGTTTGATGGGAGCTATGCTTGAGTGAGTTCCTCTGAAAACAAGCATTTTATAAGGAGATTAGGGAACTCGGCCCTGAAAACCGCAGAATCAAGGACAGAGAGGCTACCAGGAAGTAGAGGGTGATTGACATTTCCTAAGAGAAAGAGTTCAGGAGGCTAAGAATCAGTGCTAGGACATAAATTAGAAGTTGAGAAAACTGATTTCACAGATGTATTGTTCTGCCCCCATTGGCGACCTCATCAAATACTCTGACCAGTTTCTTTCCCTTGACCTTCACTGTTGTATTTTTTTTCTATTGTATAAACCTTTTGTCACTCATGCCCCATGAACTGGAATCGGTCTCCTCATCCCATTATATTTGTTTAGTGGTTAAGTAAGTAGATGAGTGTGGCTTTTAGCTCTCGTTCTTCAGTTTTTCAAAATGAATGTGTTTTTCTTTCTTGATGAGTTTCCAAATGTGTTCTAAAAGGGGAATCTACCTAAATGTGAGGCTCTGCTGCTTCGCTCTCTGCTGGGAAATTTGTTTTCTGTATGGGATAATTTGAAGGTTTTATTTTGTTCTTGTTCCTGTAATATCCCGATTAAAGGATTAGGAAGCCCTTTGCTGTAGTTGAGTCAGTAATACCACCCTGAGCACAGAGACATACACTCGGGGGACATAGATTTGCATTTGTTGAATGAGTAACAGCTTAGCAGCAGCACTACCTTCTTGTCTGTAACTGTGTCAGCTGTTGGTCACATTGCCCATGACTTCCGGGTACAGCTCTCAGAATTAGCAGAGAACCTGACGTCAGTAATAAGACATAGGTTGTGGAAATGACTAGGTTATAGTTATGAGTATTGAAAAAGATGGCTCATGGTTCCAGAGGGGAGATACTTGTTTAGCTATTGCACATGAAGCAGTGCCCTCAGCATCCCCTTTACGTCAAATCCCCATTCACTCCATCAACCTTTTGTTTGGACTTAGTATTTGATAGCTACAATTAGGAACCCCAAAATAATGATCCTTGTTTTCTGGAAGCTCAAAGCTTCACGTTGACTAAAAAGTGGTATTTGTATCTATATCTATTATATTTATTTCTATGTGTCTGTGCTTAATATATATATATATATATATCTCCACAATATATGAGAAAACTGTATGTTAGTAAATACTGACTTTATAATCATTCAAAGTATGTATACATTGTTTGGGACTCCATATATATAGGGTATCCCAAAAAATGTATACATACTTTAACAGCTCAATTTTAAAAATGAATTTTAATAAATACTAACTTTATAATTATTCACAGTGTGTGTATATACACTCTTTTGGGACACCCTATGTTTTGCTTTCTAATAGATGTATTATGAGAAGAGTATGATAAGAGCACAGAGGGAGGCAAAACTGCCTGCCTGGTGGGGGGAGGGAGATCTGCTGTGAACAGGGTTGTTTTTGAGTTAGAAATGGGAGTTTTATAAATAGGGTAGATGGGTTGGTCAGCATCTCCAGAGAAAGAAAACCACAGCAGCAGAAAAGAGGATGAAATGTTTTTGTAATGATGTGAATCCTGTTATGGTTGGAAAAGGGTGGAGCAGTGGCTGAGGCTGGTAAACAGGTTGGGGCCAGATTGTGAAGTGTCAGTAGAGATAAGGGAGACTTTGGAAAGCTTTCATGATCATAACTTTATAAAAATAATTCTGGTGACAGTGTGAAGGGGAGGAAGTTGATGGGGGAGTCTGGTGCCTAATGGGCTATGCGTCCTCTGTCTTCCAGCTTTCTCCTGTGCTTCTGGAGAGTATCTAGAGATGAAGAACCAGGTCTGCAGTAAGTGTGGTGAAGGCACCTACTCCTTGGGCAGTGGCATCAAATTTGATGAATGGGATGAGTTGCCAGCAGGATTTTCCAACGTTGCAACATTCATGGACACTGTGGTTGGCCCTTCTGACACCAGGCCTGATGGCTGTAACAAGTAAGAACCCAAAGGAACCTTTGGATTTTAATTGAACAGTTGAGAAAGATATACTTGCTCTTTTAGAGAAAGAAGTTGAGAATAATTTTGGTATTGATTGGGATTATAGATAAACTAATTATAAATAAACTTTTTTTTTTGTCTAGTCATTACAAATAATGTAGCTCAGTTTTTATGAATTTAAAATGATTGTTCTCAGGACAGAATAGATACCATATGCAAAAATGTGATAAAGATATTAGAAAAACAAATTAATTTAAAAATATATATATTTTATTGATTTTTTACAGAGAGGAAAGGAGAGGGATAGAGAGCCAGAAACATCGATGAGAGAGATACATCGACCAGCTGCCTCCTGCACACCCCCAACTGGGGATGTGCCCACAACCAACGCACATGCCCTTGACCGGAATCGAACCTGGGACCCCTGAGTCCTCAGACTGACGCTCTATCCGCTGAGCCAAACCGGTTTCAGCACAAATTAATTTTCTAATATATTTATAACTACACTCAAGCCAGTGTATTTCTAAAAATGCTTTTAATAGATAAGTTTAGATTTCCCCCCCTCTTCCTCTGAAAGAAAGAATGTGTAGCCTTCATTTAGGTACTTGATTATCTTCTAATAGAGAGTGGGTGAAACAATATGTGAAGTGGAAAGCTCATTTGCTTGATTTCTACCTCTTATAGAAAGTTATTAGCTTTGCTTATGACACCACTGGAGGACTTTGAAATTGTTTTGATAAAAAAAAATATTTATCTGTGGTCTGTACCCATTCCCATTCCCTTGTATTGACTACGTAACATTTCTTTTCACATGGCCGTGTTATTAAACATTAGGCCTCTGGCTAACTTCTGACAAGAGTTGATTTTCAGAAACTCACTCTTCTTACCATGAGCTGAAGATGTTGGGACTTTTTTAGTTATGCTAAAAGATATGCTCCACAAAACTCTGGGGAGGGAGGGTATTTATGGGAGGGGGGGTGCATTGGTATATGTACAAAAATAATAATTTAATTAAAAAAATATTATAAAAAAAAGATATGCTCCCTCACTTCCCCTCTTACCTTCCCTCCTTTTTATATAGACCTGGATGTTTATCTGGTATTATTTTCTCAGCCTATAATATTTCCTTTGTTATTTTTGCAAATCAACTGCTCAAAAATTTTCTCAGCTTTTATTTACCTGAAATCTTTATTTTAGCATCATTTTTAAAGAATATTTTGTGGACATGGGATTCACTTATTGTGTTTATATTTTATTTAAAGTTGATTATATTTGTAAGAGCTGTCCCAATTTCTCACCTATTTCTCTGGACTGGTTGTTTTTTTTTTCTCAGGGATCATTTTTTCTCATTTCTTTGCTTGTTTACTAAATTTTATTTTATCTTGAGTGTGGTGAATATTAAGATATAGGTAAAGCAGATTATTGCTATTTTTTATTTAAAAGGTGTTGAGTTTTGTTCTGACAAGCAATTTATTTACTGGAAGAGCACCTTGATCTCATCAGGACTGATTTTTATTACTTTTTTGATGGCTCTGTATTTAATTCACACTTAGTTCTAGGTCATGGCCTTTGGTCTAGGGCACAAGTTAGCAAAGTACAGCCTGTGAGCCCTCCTTCTGTTTTTGCAGACAAGGTTGTATTGGAACACAGCGGCACTCATTTACTTATGCATTGTCTCTAGCTGCGTTGGAGTTACAGTGGCAGAGTTAATTAAGTATTGCAAGAGAGCCCAAATTGTCAACAAGCCACACATATTTATTCTTTGGCCCTTTAGGAAAAGTTTGCTGACACCTGCTGTAGGGCAGGGCCTCTATAAGATCTAGCAAATTCTAGAATCTTAAGTGGATGTCCAATAAGTTTATCAAGTTTCTTCCTCCTCGCTGGTTTGCAGCTCCAGGGACTTCTGATTATGTCTCAGCTTTGCAGTGGCTGCGAGCCCCAAGCCCAGGACCTACAGAAACACTCCATATGGGTTCCTACAGCCCCTATTTTCTCTGATTCTCAGGCCTATAAATTCCAGCCTCGTCAGCTGCCCCCAAGCACTTGTCTCTGCTCCTCAGCTCAGGGAGACCACCATGCTTAGGTTGAGTGCCATCTCCTGATGTCATCGTTTGGGACATGTTCTGAGGAATGAGGCCAAGGTTAAGTTGGGCTTTACCGCGTGTGTTTGGCTGCTCTCAGGAATCCCAATCCTGCCCTGCCTGTTGTCTAGGCCTGAAATGGCTCCTGCATGCTGTTTTGTTTAATAGATGGTGAAAGGGGAAGGGCAGATCCAGTACCAGTTAGTCATGTTGGGATGTGGAAATCTCAGGCTTTTGTTCAGAATTTATTTCTGTTAGAAAAAAAGAAAAGAATTTTAAAATCTTACTCTCATCTAAATAAAAAATTAAACTGAAGAGAACAATGTTAAATTGTGTTATCTGTTGTATAGTTCGGTTAGAATTGTTCTTTTGCCCCAAAACTTGACACATGACTCTTTGATTCTAAGAATTAATGTATGGTTAGATTTACAACCCAAGTTTTGTTCATCAATATATTTTCTTAAGTTTTTATCTTGTGTGTGTGTTTTTTTTTAGTTTTTTTTTTTAGATAAAAATTCCAGACTTTTACCTCATTATATACTATAAAACTGTGATCTCTATTTTATTTAGGTTCATTTTAAATGGGCTTTTTCCAAGACTATTTCTTTTCTCATATCAAGGAATCTTCTCACCTTCTGCCATGTGCATATGTTAATAAAGAAGATTTCAGATGTTATTTGAGATACTAATTCTACTCCAATCTAGTAGAATTACTGATTGTCTTTTTAGTGATCAAAGTTTTGGTGGAAAATAGCAGTTTCATGACAAATAGATCTTACCAAGATTTAGGGAATTGTGTGCCATAAGCAGTGAATCTATTCCCAGCAATGGTGTTGGCTGTTGAATTCCAGAAAAACTCTGGTCTTCTCTGGTGTACCTTGCTGGAGGGATGACTTTAAAATATATTTTATTGATTTTTTACAGAGAGAAAGGGAGAGGGATAGAGAATTAGAAACATCGATGAGAGAGAAACATCAATCACCTGTCTCCTGCACATCCACTATTGGGGATGTGCCCACAACCAAGGTACATGCCCTTGACTGGAATCAAACCTGGGACCCTTCAGTCCACAGGCTGATGTTCTATCCACTGAGCCAAACCGGTTTCAGCTGAAGGAATGACTTTCAAATCTGAGTTACATAGGAGGTTTCTGAATGCTGATGTAAGATGCCCCTTGGTTTTGTTTCCACAGCTCTTCTTGGGTCCCTCGAGGAAATTACATAGAGTCAAATCGTGATGACTGCACCGTGTCTTTGATCTACGCTGTGCACCTTAAGAAGTCGGGTAATGTCTTCTTTGAGTACCAGTACGTCGACAACAACATCTTCTTTGAGTTCTTTGTAAGGCCTTTTATATTCTGAAATTTACTTTTTATGGTACATTCATGTAATATTTACCTTAATTCATTGTTTCCATTACATTTTATGCCTTCTCAGTCTTTTTGTGTGTGTGTGTGTGTAAACTGAAACTTTTGATGCTAAAAGAGAACTTTACTTTTTTCTATAATATTTTATTTTTTGGTGAATTTCTTGACCTCTGAGTTCTTGACTTGTAGAGTAAGATTGAGCTTGTTTTACATTTGCTTATGACCATTAGATGACCATTTGGTGTAAACTCTTTGTGTGATAAATATTTTCTCCAAGATTCATTTTAAAAATTGTTATTTTTGTAGCTACAGATGCTTTTTTTTTGGTTAAAAATGTGTCTCCACCAAATCCAATTTTTGTTTAAAAACATTTTTTTTCTCCCTGCAGTTTCAAATATTTGAATTATTTAACTGTATTCATGGGCAGTATTTCAGAAGTATAGGTGGCTATATGATTCTGATTCTGTCAGTTTTACACAATCTAAAGGAATTAATGGATGGGATATTTGATGTCTTGGTAAAAGATTAAATAGCATTACAATCTCTTGGATAAAATAACAGTCTAACAGAATAGGCTGTTACCTCTAAAATTATTTAAATATTTTATATAAACTGAAGCTAATCTAGTGACTATTTGTTGTGGCAGTGACTCAAATGTTTGAAAAAATGTTTTCCCATTGTTGCCACATACAAAAAAAAAAAGTGCAAGTAATTGGCAAAATACATTGTAAAATGTTTCTGTGGTACAGATTTTATTTATTTCTTTATTTATTTATTTATTTTTTAAAATATATTTTATTGATTTTGTATAGAGAGGAAGGGAGAGAGATAGAGAGTTAGAAACATCGATGAGAGAGGAACATCGATCAGCTGCCTCCTGCACAACCCCTACTGGGGATGTGCCCGCAACCAAGGTACATGCCCTTGACCGGAATCGAACCCGGGACCTTTCAGTCCCCAAGCCGACGCTCAATCCATTGAGCCAAACCAGTCTCGGCTGTGGTACAGATTTTAGAAGGAAATGTACTAAAAATTCTAAGGCAAATATACATTGCTCTTGATAACAGAAATTTCTAAATCAAAAGTTGGTGGGAAGAGATATTTTTGATTAAAGTATGAACCTTAGATTTGAAGTGAAGAAATTCTGGCTCTAGTCCCATCTCGGCAGGGGCTAGCTGTGTGTTATTGGGCAATTACGTTTGCTTTTCAACCCTCAGCATTCCCTTTGGTAAAGTGGACTGTGTAGTGGCCCTTTTAAGGATCCTTCCTAGGTCTAATATCCTTTGATGAGTTTAAGATATTAAGCAACCTTCAGATTGGCTTTTTAAGCTGCGTTCTGTTTATAAAACACTTCTTCAGGTGAAAAATTACCCATTTTATGGGACAATTTTGCAATATTACTAAACCTAAAGTTAAGAAACAAGGTAATTATATAATTGTTCAAATAAGCACTTAGTTTTATGTTGTTCAGCGAGTGCTCTGAGGATTATCAGTAATGGTCCTCCAGAGGCATGAAGTTTCATTACGTCTTTTCCAGGAGCCTGTGTTCTTCTGGCTATAGACTGAAGAGGGAGGGCAAGTTCATGTTCCTCCTCTCATTGATGCTTCAGCTTCCGAGGCTGTGATTTATTGACGCAGGCCATTCTGTTAAGGGCTAGTGGGAAGGAAATGTGTGGAGGACTAAAAGATGCAGGTGTACCTGTGGAATTACATCATTTGAACCAACCAAGTATTTAATTTTGGAACTATATGGGACTTTCACTCGGCCCAGCTCCCCTTTTAAATGATGAAACTGAAAACTAGAAAGAATAATGGACTGGACCAACGTTATACTGTTGCCAGTTACTTTTAGAATGAATGACAGAGCTCAGGCACCTAGCATGCCAGTAGAAAGAATGTCATGATGACACATAATGTCTGATTTTGGCTGAAAAAAAGCTATCAGCTTATCCAAACACTGACCGCTAAAGGGTATTTAGAGTCCATATTTGTTTTAGAATGGCCATTATGCTTATAATAAAAATAGGCTGCCGTATTTTCCGGTGTATAAGACGACCCCCTAATTTTACAGTTAAAACATTGGTTTAGGCCTATATTCGCTGTATAAGACTACCCCCCACTTCCGAGGCAACACCAGTTCTTTTTTTTAATAGACCGCCTCTCTGACTCAGCCAATCCAAGCAGGCTTTTTATGCATGCAAATTATACATGTTCTGTACCCAAGCTACACTGTGTTCTAGTAAAAAGCCTGCTCAGATTGGCCAGAGTCAGAGAGGCGGTCTATTAAAAAAAGAATTGGTGTTGCCTTGGAAGTGGGGGGTAGTCTTATAAAGCGAATATAGGCCTAAACCTGTGTTTTAACTGTAAAATTAGGGGGTCGTCTTATACACCAGAAAATACGGTATTTGAATTTCATTGAAGCCAATATCCTCGTAGTGGAAATTCTCTGGTATTTGGATGGAAAAAGGACCTATTTTCAAGTTAGTAAGTCTTTAGGATATTTCATGATGGAGAACATATTCTGTTCCAGAGGATGCATGAAGTGGCATACATGATTTAGAAAAGAAAGAGCCATTTGGGTGGAAATAGAATAGGTGATGAGAACCTATTTTAACCCTACTCTATTGGTGACTATTGTGCAATACTGTAATGGTGGCCTAGCTTTTGATGTTTCCATCTTTTTCATAGTCCTGGAAAAGTAGTATCAAAGTAGGCATTTTAAAAGAATCTTCTGGAAAGCACAAAGTGGTGCTAAAGATATTAATTGTATAGTCCTTTGAATCAGTATGACAAATGATTAACATTTACCCCCAAATAAAAATTTGGGACTTTGACTGTGGCCATTTGACCAATACATTTGGATTAAGCCCCGGGGAACTGAAAACAAAACAAAGCAGACTTAAATTATTTATTAATTTAAGATTTTACTGCCCCAAATATTATTTAAAAAGTAAACTTCACTTGTATACCATTGGGCCTGCATGGCGTATGCAAGCTTTTAAAACAACTTGGTAAGATTTTTGTAATTACTTTTTCTCTTTATGTGAATTTTCAGAATGTACTGCTCTTTCCTTCTTTCTCTTCTCCGCTCCCCTTCTTCCTTCTCAGTGAGATAGCCTTTTTTGTTAAAATAATGACAGTGGCTTATCTACAACCACTCATGCGTAGCAGTTGTCACTTTGGTTTCAGAGGTCTTGATGTGTTGACTTGTTGAAAATGACTCATGGGCATTGTTGAATGTATGTATTAAAAGAACCTATTGCAGCCTGCCCTGTGCTGAGGAGCACATTTAATGAAAGCCGCTATTCAAGAAGATATACTGGGGCCATTGTGTTTGTCCTGCAGATTCAGAACGATCAGTGCCAGGAGATGGACACCACGGCGGACAAGTGGGTCAAACTCACGGACAGTGGAGAGTGGGGCTCGCATTCTGTAAGTCTCTGTTCTCCTCCTTAGTCACCAGCCCCATTCTTCTCCTTCCTTTTCCAACCTTTTACAAAAGTTTATTTTAAGGGGGGAAAAAATTCAAAATTGTTTATGAATTTAGAAAATTTCCAGTTAATAGACCAAGTTTCATGGACTTAGGTCTCTTTGTAGGTATTTTTCTCTACCTTTCCCTTTAGGCTCTTTCCTTTCTTTTTCCCACTATACTTCAATTTTTCTCCTTTCAAAGGGGGCAATACCAATAATAAGGCTGATCACACCAATATACAAAGCCTCTGAGCATCTACGTTTACAGATGTGCTTGTCATATGGGAGAGAATCAGTGGCTCTTGCATTGGAAGGATCCTTAGTTCCTTTTACCCAGCTTTCTCTGCAGTTGTCTCCTTCCCCACTCCAACCCCCCATAAGTGATGTTTCAAGCTTGCCTTGTTGGGAACTGTGCTGACCCTACTGTTGGGTAGCTCTGATTACCACAAAATTCATCCCTGTGTTTGGAACCTAAACCTTCTCCTGTGTATTTGCCACTGATAAATCAGAGTCTTATGCCCTTTGAAAAACGCTTTACCACTGAAATAAAGTAACTACCTAACTCTCCACATGATAACTATAAATACTTGAAGGCAAATATCAGGGGACACAGTCCATGCAGCTGCTATTATGTGGGGCACTGTGCCTTTGGAGTGACACATGCACTTAAAATCAAACTCTGCCTCACAGTAGCTATGTTTCTTTAGGCAACTGGCTTAATCTCTTTCAGTTGGGCCTTTTTTTATTTTTCATGTAAGAAATAAAACTACTCTTGCAGGGATAAATGAAATGATACATGGGTGCCCACAGTGCTGATGGAGCTCTGTTACAGTAAGTGACCATCCAGGGGCTCCGGCTTGGAGTGGTTAATACAGTGTACTTTTCCGAGTACTTTTTGAACTGTATGCCTGGAAGTGACGTTAGTACCACTTAAGATCTATTTGCCTAAGCATTCTCTCGGCTGGGCTTTGAAGGTACAAAATAACCCTCGGCAACAAGTATGTTTTCTTCACTTATGAAGGCTTCATGCAAGGCGAAAGTACTTAGTGTACTACTTCTCTGAACCCCTGGCAAGGTGAAATGGTTGGATATGTTTTAAGTTTATACAGTTTGGGTTTGGCCAGAGACTACATAGAAGAATAAGGGTGGCATATAAGAAAAAGCAAGGAACCCTTAAAATTAATTTGCTTGTCTGAATTAGCATGACATTTCTCAGAAAGTTAGTTTGATTTATAATTACAAAGATACCCCAGTGGCAAAGAAAGCAGATATACATAGTAACATTTAAGTTCTAAAATCATAGTTAAATCAGGTTCTTTTATAAGAACAGTCCTGTGTTCTCTGGTTGCTGTTGCAGGATTGCTTATTAAATAAAAAAGAAGCCAACTCACTCTGTTGATTTTTTTTTTTCCTCTCAAAGCTCAAAATCTGCTTATGAATAATGGCATCCAATAAATATATAATTGGTCTGAGTGCCTTTCACTCTGTAAAATGAGTTTCTTTTAAATATAAACCAAGACTTCATGCAAATGCTTCAAAAATAATTTTATTTTATTTTTTAGATTTGAGGAATTTTGTTTCTTTATTACTATATTTTTTGGAGATGGCAAAGTATTTTTACTTTATTTTTTAGAAAATGTGAACTTCAGCAGAGCTTAGGTATGAATTGACAGTAGACTAAAATTTATGGATTCCAAGTTAATGGTATTTTACTATAATTCAAAGAAAAATGTACGAGAGATTAGCTCTCAGGCATGGTTGGATGTAGCATGGCTTAACCAACCTGAGTGTCTTGTGCTTTGCTTTGCAGGTAATGCTAAAGTCTGGCCCAAACATACTGTACTGGAGAACTACAGGCATCCTTATGGGTTCCAAGGCAGTCAAGCCAGTGTTGGTAAAAAATATAACAATTGAAGGTATTTCGCAGCACTCTGTTTTAGTAGTCACCCATCACATTTCACATTGAGTTACATATTGATTGAATTGTCGGTTTGACTGGCCCGAGTTTATGGGACAGGAATTAATATGTTAAGTATCATCCAGCAGAAACCGGTTTGGCTCAGTGGCAGAGCGTCGGTCTGCGGACTGAAAGGTCCCAGGTTCGATTCCGGTCAGGGACATGTACATTGGTTGCGGGCACATCCCCAGTGGGGGGTGTGCAGGAGGCAGCTGGTCGATGTTTCTCTCTCATTGACGTTTCTAGCTCTCTATCTCTCTCCCTTCCTCTCTGTAAAAAATCAATAAAATATAGTTAAAAAAAAAAGTATCATCCAGGTGTACAAGTGCTGATTTTATTCCTTGAAAGTTGACTGATTTTTTGTTTTTGTTTTTTTTGTACCCTTAAACTGAATTATTTAATCTGTGTAAAAAAGTACACATGATGACAATTTTAAGTGTCTTTAAATAAAAGAAAAATGTCTTTGTTAATAAGAGCCTATTATTCATGTGAATAATGTCTATTGAGCTTACTCAGGCCACTGCTGCATCCAAAAAAATAACAATCAAATAAACATCTTGGCCTGACTATCTCCCAAATCTCTTGTACTGCTTTATATACATATGCTGCTTCATATATATATATATATATATATATATATATATATATATATATATTCCAGAGAGGAAGAGAGAGAGATAGAAACATCAATGATGAGAGAGAATCGTTGATTGGCTGCCTCCTGCAAGGCCCCCTCCTGTGCCCTGACCAGGAATTAAACCGTGACCTCCTGGTTTATAGGTCAGTGTTCATTGTGGCCTGGTTCTTGTGCTTCTTCTGAACCAGCTGGACCTTTGTGGCCCAGGAAAGCGGCCAGTAAACCCTGAAATTGTTCAGTCTCAGGGCTCCTTATAATTAAAGCAGTGATTCTCCTCTATGAAAGTTTGGCTTGTGTTTGAATATGTTTAAAGTGTACTTGTTCCTGTGACGCCAACTCATTAGTCCACGTAGGGACATCTGCTGGCAAAGGCTGAAATTACAAACCAGAAGAAAAGTCAAGCCCTTCCCAGGGTCTGTTAAGTCTTGCCAGTGACTTATTGAGCAGACCATAGAAAAGGAGCAAACAGGTAGCCACAGAGATGGAGGATGGCAGCTTGTAGAATTGGAGGGGACCTTAGAGTTTATCCCACTCTGAGTTTGTGGAGTTGTCTCTTGACGACTGAGTTTACACATTTACTATATCTCTAACAAATGCCAATTGCTTGCTTCAGTGTTTGCTCTACTTACTGTGTTTTATTCAGAATCTATCCCTGTTACTGGCATGCAGCAAACACTTCTTGGGGTTGAATGAACTAGAGAAAGGATTTGGGCTGAGCTTAGTGTCAGTAGTGCTCTCTCACTTCTGGAAGAAGCTGAAAGAAGGTGCTGGTTTGCTCACTTCTATTGTGTCCTCCCTCCCATGCTCTGTGTGTTCCTTTCCCACAGGAGTGGCATACACGTCGGAATGCTTCCCGTGCAAGCCGGGCACCTTCAGCAATAAGCCAGGTTCGTTCAGCTGCCAAGTGTGTCCCAGAAACACCTACTCTGAGAAAGGAGCCAAAGAATGCATCAAGTGTGCAGAGGACTCCCAGTTTTCAGGTGGGTCTAATCTTTGACCATTTATACTCTATGCTCTTTTCTTTTTAAATGTGCATTTGCTGAATGTGTAGTCCTAAGCCACATGTCATACATAAGTGGGACAGGAACAATGGGCAGAACACCCAAGTGCTGAAGTGAATCAATAATGAGTGGATAAAAATTACTTTCATCCCTTTCTGCCTGACTTTTCCTTTTGTCTGTAAATGTTTTTCCTATTTCATACTTCACAGGAAATGCCTGCGATTTGTTTATACTAATCTGGATGCATGCTGTACTTTTAGGTGATTTGTGGACATAGAGATACATTTAGAAACTTTTCATTTGTTCCAAATTTACAGTTTTAACGGTAGTAGAATAAGTCTAACGTCTTCTTGGAAAAACTGTAATATGTCCCAGGCATATCATGGAAGTACTTATTGCTCTTGTGAAAATAAAAATGTAAGCCCTTATCTTCTTCAGGCCTAGCTAGTTGTACCTAAATTTCTCTGGTAAGGTTATTTTTACTTTTTAGTTGTTTCTCTTTTGCTTATTTGTTTATTTTGTTTTTTTATGTGCATTTTTTGTTGTTGTTGTTGCAGAAGAAGGATCGGGCGAGTGTACGGAGCGCCCTCCCTGTACCACCAAAGACTATTTCCAGATCCATAGTCCATGTGATGAAGATGGAAAGGTATGGGCAGTGTTCAGTGCATTCCATTTCATGTGTGTTCAGCCATCTTCCCAGTTTAAGCAGACTTTTCTTTGTTGATGAGAGAGTTGAGTGAGCTGATGTATAAAACATGTATCTGAAGTAGTTCAGGGAGATTTAATAATTTATCTTCTGAAGTCTGCCTTCCTGGCTTTGATTTTTCCCATCTACTAATTAGTGCCGTGGGCAAGGTATTGGCTGCCTACACATCAGTGTTTTCATTGGTAAAATAGGGATAATCTTTGTACCTATTTCCTGAGGCTGCTATGAGAAGATAAGCTGTTCAATGGAAGGTTCCTAGCACAGTGCCTGGCACACTTTGAGTGCCCAGTAAATCCCTGTTATTTTATTATTATATATTTTTTAACAGTTCTATGTTTTAAAAAGTAATGCTGTCAGGAGTAGCACAGCCTTAAAATGTGTCCTGTGAATCACAGGATGGAAACCCAGTAAGTCCTCACTTAATGTTATTGATAGGTTTTGAGACTTGAGGTGAACCGATGTATCACAAAACCAATTTTACTCTAGGCTAACTGGTAGAAACAAGAGTCAACAGTGTTATAGTGAAACCACAAAGGCTATTGAATGAAATGACTTTACATGGGGACCTGTTGTATCCTGTAACTTCTCTTTAATTATTTGGTTTCTCAGTAGGTTTTGTCAATAAAAAAGCCATGCAGCCATTGGCTGATTTAGTCGTGGCAGATTGCTGTGTAATTGCATTCAGAAAATGCAGAGTAATTACCATACAAATAACACCGAGCCAGAGGAAAAATGAACACATGAACTCTGCAGCTGACCCCGTTGTCTTAACTATTGTAAAAAAAATGTCAGCCTATGCTGGCCTATTCATAGTAGAAGCTGAGATGGAAGTGGTTTTGGTGCAACATGCTTTCTGTATGCTTGCATCTTCAAAATCATGACAGTTAATACCTTGACCTAATTTGGAAAATACACATAGAAGCCAGTATTGCTTTATTTTCTTAATCTGAGGTCCTAACCCATAATTTTATACTTATATGGTTATTGTAGTTACCTGTAGGTCTTTGAAAGCACATGTAGTTTATATCCGATGAATTCAGCCAGTCTACAAAGCCGTGGTGGATTTGTGCAGGGACGTTTGCAGGAGGAAAGCAGACAACCGTGGACAAATTTGGTCTCAAATTTCATCTAAAGTTTAGTCCTCCCCGGTCTTGAATTTTATTTCAATGTAAGAACCAGCTTCCAATTGCTACCTCCATGTGGATTGTGTCTATCAATAGATTGTGTTTTATTTATACTTAATAGAAATACGCTTGGAAACCATAGTTCTTCTGTAGTCTTAATAGCAGTAAGCTTTGCTCTATTAAGGTCTTGGTTTCATAAAACATTTCATAATTTTATCTCAACTTGCCAAAGAATGAATTCATTGTTGGTTTTTCACCTTCACTGTGAGCCATCTGGTGCTACAAATCATTAATATTGCTTATTAGCTTTTCCCGTCAGCCAGACTTGAAAGCATCTGTCCCCATTGGAAAGTGAGGCACAGAATCAGCCAGTCATGTGAAGCAAGGCTATGCAAACAAAACTTTTACTGCAGAGAATTTGAAATTTGGCTTCTAAGTGTTTGAATGTTTGAAGGTGGTGCACATTTTCTAACTTTTAAGCCATCGTTTGTGCTTGGATTCAAAGTATGTGGTTAGCTGACCTCTTGAAGATATATTTGTATATTTTATCATTTTTACGCTTTCCAAATGCATTCTCCTTGACTTATGTTGCTTTACCATTTACTAGCTATGTATAACTTTGGGGCAGTAAAGTTGAGGACAATAACACTGACCTCCCAAAGTGTGTGTGGGGCAGATTACACGGTGGGCCCCCATAGTCAGGCCTCAGTGCGCAGCCTCAGAACTGTGCCCACTCCCCTGTGGGAACCAACTATTCCCAACACTGCAGTCACTCACACACCATGCATTACAATTTTAATTAATGTCAACATAAATCAGCAAATTTTTGAATTGGCAAAGATTAAAAAGTTGTTTTCTGTACTTGTTACGTTTTAAAAAGATGATCGACCCCCCGCCCCCCCCCCAGGAGGATGATATTTTTGGTTCCATTTTTGGAATTTTATATTACCTTTCTCAGGGGAGCTGATAAGCCCTTTTAGATATAGGATCTAAGTTATTTTTCCAGCTGTTTAGGAAGCTCTGGCAGGAACAACCATTGTTTTACAGATGGTAAGAGAGAGGTTTCTGGGTGAAGTGACTGGTTAGACTGTTTCATGCTGTAGGCATAAAACGAATGCAGAAGGAGAGAGTTGTAAAATGAAAAAAAAAAAAGCTATTTATAATTCTGTTGAGACATTTATTATTAAAGCATTTTCTTAAGCATTTTTCTTGAGATAAGATCATTTACTCTTCCATAAGTGAATACTTGAGATAAAATTGAGAGGCCTAAAGGACTTACTATATACGATTTTCTATGAACTGAAAATGGCTATGGAGAATTGCCTTTAATTTTGGTCCTCCAGCTTCCATATTAGACTTATTATTGCAGAAATTGTTTTTACAGAGAAAGATATGTTTAGCAGATTACATGTCTAATGAAGGAAGCTATTAATTTTTTTTTAAGAACCATATTTAGCTATGAAAAAATGTATTTTTCTCTTTGCATTTAGAATACCTTTCCCCCTACTGATAATACCAATTTTGTTTGACATGGCAAACCCATTTAATGGTTTGGTTTCAAAAGAGAATAATTTTATAATTACAATGTTCTGGGTTTGGATGAGTCATAGCTAATTTTGTTTTATTTCGTTTTGTGTGGGGGTGTAGGAATGTGTGAGGAAGAATGAAAGGATAAGGTTTAAAGGACTTCCCTTTCTGGAATTAGAGGCTGTCTTTATCAGGGTGAACAGTGTTAGGCTGCTGGAGACCCAGTTATGGTGTCAGCCTGCCTCTGCAGGAGTGGGCTCAACAAAGGAACCATGGCTTCTGACAGCACTTCTGTCTGGGAGAAAGCTGCCCCTCTAGCTCTAATCCCACAGCCAGACAATTCAGTTCCTTCCCCCCTCACCCCCCGTCCCTAGCACCTTTTGAGCTGCTGCCCCAGTGCTGGAGCTTAGAAAGAGTGAGTTAGGGTGTCTGTACCCTAGTTCTTTAATAGGAACGCCTGGGACTCCTGCAGCCCGATGTCTCACGCAGTCACAATCCTCACTGGTTTTCACAGCCCGAAGTTATAGGTCTTTTCTTCTCAGCACTGGACCCTGAACTAGGCGGACTGGGACCACTCTCTCCTCAGGACGGACTTCTGCAGCCGCCAGGTCCTTCCGATTTTTATCTCCCACCTGTGGGTGTGGGACCAGCTCATTCTGCATCGTTGCCCCTTCTACCCATCTCCAAGAGGCTTTTTCTGCATATCCGTAGTTACAGGACTCTGTTCAGCTAGATTTCAGGTGGTTCTGAATAATGGCAGTTCCGTAGTTTAGCTGTAATGTGGATGTAGCCCTAGGAGGATGCCAGCACTGCGTTTATCTATACTACCACCTTGACTGGAAGCCGGGAGGCTGTCTTAATCCCGATGTTCAGCACACATTCTGGAGGGCCTAAAATCCTCAGGAGAAAATATGTTAGCTACAGGTCTTGGAGTGTAATATCATAGTTCTGGAAAAGATGCAGAGAGCAACTACCAATATTTATGAAATAATAGGATTAAAATGTGGAAGCTGGACATATTCTTCTTTAAAAATATATTTTTTAAATAACTATGTGGAAAAGTTGGTGGTAGGTGCTGTAGTTGAGGGATAAGAAGAGAGTAGTGCAGGTTTCAAAATGAAAAAGATAGTCTCTGCATAGAGACTTCTGGTGGTTAAGGAGTAAATAAAGTGAGTGAATAGAAGAGTAAGGGACATAATCACATTATCTGTATTTTAAAGAGGAATTTCATGATGAGGAACATGCTCTGTCTGAAGTAAAACCATCTTTAGTTTGGGGCAAAAATACTTGGAAATAATGTTCATTTGTCACTAAAGTTTCATTATTATTATTTTTTTTTTGGCTGAGGGGTCTCATTTTCTTACTAATGTTTTAGATTGTCTTTATTCGGCCCTTCTAGTCTATCCCTATTTGGGATTTTTCTAGGCTGTCAGTTTAACATTTGTGCTATTGGAAGTGTAAAGCAAATAAAAGATGTTTCATGACCTATAAGCCTTTTTATTTTTTTTTATTTTTTTTCCAGACACAGATAATGTATAAGTGGATAGAGCCCAAAATCTGCCGGGAAGATCTCACAGATGCTATTAGGTTGCCCCCTTCTGGAGAGAAGAAGGATTGTCCACCTTGCAACCCTGGATTTTATAACAATGGATCCTCCTCTTGCCATCCCTGCCCTCCTGGGACGTTTTCAGATGGAACAAAGGGTAGGATATTAGTTAGTCCCATAATCGGACCTTTAACATACTAATCGTGTTGGATTCCTGTAAGTTTGTTCTAATTGTTCTTATGAATCCATTCTTTAAAACTTTTTTTTTTTTTTTTAGAGACTGAAGTAGAGTTGAGAAATATGATAATGGTGTTATGAGACTGAAGTGGTTTATTTAACACATCGTAAGGATTGCTTTTTAATGGCATTGAGTAATCCACTCTTATGGTATGACTCTGCCTTTGGGTAGTGATAAGAAGTTCTACCATATTAAGCGATTAAGAATAAGCACTTGATTTGCAGAGTATTTGTATACAGCTATTGATGCAAGCATAAAATATAATGCCTTCTAATTCAGCTTTATATTGGAATAATAAGTCACATTTTGTGCAATAATATAAAAACTTGCTCATTTCGATCATATAGCATATTATATTCCCTAAGCAAATTGTTTCAAAGTGTATAGTTGGGAAAATTTTAGTACTTATCAAATAATGTCGAAGGTGGTTAGAGAATTTGTTTTAATTTTGGTAGACAGGGATTTACAGTGCATTTTAATTGCAGGTTTCTTGAATATAGCCATGCAGCATACTGAATATCCTGAGCCTTTGAAAAATAACATGAAAAGGATTTAAGAGTCAAATTGTCTTGTGTTTAAGTCCATATCCAGCAAGCTACCAATAGTGTTATCTCTCCAAGTTACTTAAACCTTTCAAACTTCACTTTTCTCATCTAAAAATTGTGGGTAATAATATCTAGCTCATCATTACTGAGCAGGTTATATAAAAATGGCTCCTGCAATACTTTGGTACCAGAAGTGTTTGCTCAGTGAACATTTTATCTTCCTACCCCTTCTCTTACTGATATGATAATGTAAAGTGTCTTAGGTAAATTAAAAAAAATGGTTAGAAAAGATCCTCCATTTCAATCGAGCAAAAGTTAATTTAAGTCGGGTTTATTCATAAACTTTTTCCAAACTCCTTAACTCCCAGTATTTTTTAACATAGCTAATATTTTGAACTTCAAGTAATCAATCCATAATTAAATTGCATGATATTCTGTTCCATTTAATAACCAATAGGAAGTGTGAAATGTTTACTTATTCATGAGGTAAAGGGTACGGACTCTAAAATCACATGTAAGAGAGCGTGTTTCAGAGTTACTCTTCTTGTAGGGGATAATTCAGTAGTAGCAGTTACTCCCAGAAATGAAGGGGGAAAATTACTTTAAAAGCTTTTACATTTTTCCCTTTTCATGTAAGTCAAGTATATATGTGTATAATGTATCCAGAATTATTTTTCTCTCCAGATTGTTTTTGAAAAAGTTACTACTTCTTCAGGGAATTGGTGGTTCAGGATCTCTCCTTCCCACTTCCCTCTCTGCTCATTAAAATTCAGCAGTGCTTGGAACAAAGGGAGAAGAAATTGTTCAGATGCAGTTTAACAGTCACTGTTTGCCCCACTTGTCTCCTGCAGAATGTAGACCATGTCCAGCGGGAACAGAGCCTGCCCTTGGCTTTGAATACAAATGGTGGAATGTCCTTCCTGGCAACATGAAAACCTCCTGCTTTAATGTTGGGAATTCAAAGTGTGATGGAATGAATGGTGAGTTCAGAATCAGCCTCTTGGATGTGTTCTGGCAACAGACACTTTCAGTTTCCGCTCTTTAAAAACATACTACATGTGGGTACGAGAAACTTCAACCTCATTTGGCTACTTGCCCGTCTTCAGGCCCTCACATGAAAGCAGTAACTGTGGTATTATAGTCGGATGACTTTCCTGTAAGAATATAAGCTATTTTGCTTTGGGGTCAGTGTAGAGGTAGACATTGAGGATGACCAGTTATGGTTATAAATACCAGAATAGATTACCAGGGAAGTAATGAAATCTGTGTCATTTGCCATGTTGAAGGGTAGTGTGACAGTGTTTCTGCCTGGACTAGTTTGGTCTGGCTCAGCTCTGAGCCTTTGGTGAGAGGTTGTTAAATCATCTCAGTCACTTTTTGCCTATGAAGTCTATAACCCTGATTACAAAATATTAATGAACCCCACTTACTGAAAACGTGAAAACTTGACCGAGTTCTATAGGATGGTTGCTGAATGTTCTTACATTTTAAGTTCTTAGCCTAGCACTTAGCTGTGCCTATGGTATATTGATGGTTTTTGTGCAGAGGACAGATTCCCCTCTTTCCCACCATCACCTTCTATGTATATCTGTATCACCATACTGCTGACAATTGTAGTGTGTGTGTGTGTGTCTCTCTAATATTCTTCTAATTCTTCAGTGAGGTAGAACCCAGTCTTGTCTTTCTATCCCTAGTGCATATCATGGTTCTTAGCACTCAGTGAGTGCCAATCGAGTAAATGAATAAGTGAATGAATGTAGAACAAGGGTTAAGTTAGAGAACAACAATATAGCAAACTATAAAAAATAACTCCAGACTTCAGATCTTCTTCATTAAGTGATTTGAAGTTTCTATTTCTCATTGGTTACCTGGAGACTTGGATTTTCTATCTTATTGTATTAGAATGAATGAAGACCATCTATTTTAGTTTTAAAAAGGATAGACACACCTCACTGAGAAATAGTTTTCTCATTACATAACGTTTATGCAAAAATATGCACCACTTGATTATTTCTGGGGAATCATATGGAGTGTGTTTATTGGTAGGTAGGAGTCTACCTCTACGTGTAATTTGCAACTTCAATTTAAAAATAGAGAATCCTTTGGAAGTATTTCTAATTTTGAAACACTACTGGTCTTTTTGTAACTTCATTTAAAAATTGTTAGAAATCATTCATGGAATTTTTACTAATAAAGATGATCTTTCTCATTTCTAGGTTGGGAGGTGGCTGGAGATCATATCCAGAGCGGGGCTGGAGGTTCTGATAATGATTACCTGATCTTAAACTTGCATATCCCAGGATTTAAGTAAGGAAAACTCATTCTGATTTTCTTCTGTAAGGATCCTCATGCCTGTTTTCTTATAGAAATAGATGGAGTAGGACCGCCTTTATAAAATATATTAACACTGTGATATCCTTAGCAAGTAGCAAGTAGGGTAATATGATTAAGAATATCTGTAAAATCAGTGATTGAGAAACTGTCACTATAATGTGTATTAGTTAGATGAAGCTGAAAGATTTAAGCAATATTTTATCCAAATGTTAACAAGAATCATGATTCTTGGATATTTAATGAGGATGTCTTAGTCCAGGTTATATACAGTAGTATCTTATAGTTTATATGTTTATTTTTCTCTATTAGCATGTCATACATCTTAAAATCACATTTTTCTTTAATTTTCCATGTTGAAATTTCCCAGTAGGTGTCTTGCTTGCTTTAGGATGGGTGGTAGCCTTTATGGCAGGAGATTCAAGCACAGTAACATGGTTGTGGGGACTCCATTTAGAACAAAGGGTGTGACCAAGCAGAGATTGAGTGAGGAAAGAGTTGGATTGTGGGGAGCAGTAGATTAGGGGATGAGGAGAGCATGGCTTTCAGATTAATGAAAAAAGCAATAATTTTGTTCCAGATTATATTTAGAAAACACTATAATATTGTAATTTTATTGTCAAATAGACCACCAACATCAGTGACTGGAGCCATGGGTTCTGAATTGGGAAGAATAACATTTGTCTTTGAGACCCTCTGTTCTGCTGACTGTGTTCTGTACTTCATGGTGGTAAGTGAAAGAGTGGCTTTCAAAGGCCGACTTAGAAATCTAGAAGCTTAGCATTCTCTTTCAAGTGTGAATTTATTTATACAAGTTGGAATAAGAATCCTATTTTTCTTCCCATGCTTAGTCCCTTACAAAAGCACTTAAAAACGTCTAAAGAAGTCACTAAGAATTGTGAAATGATACTCACAAAGAAAACAGTTGTTCCTCATGGAAAGGACTGAGGGGACCCTGGCAAGTGACACAAGTCAGAGAATATTAATCTGTTAAAAAATTTCTTCATAAAAATATGCTACCAGCAGAATGAAAATTTTTCCCCAATAGCAGTTCAAGCTGTCAGGAGGGAAAAACATCCTTCCTAATAAAAGAGTAATATGCAAATTAATCATCACTCCGCTCAAGCCACGTCCACCAGCCATGCCCACCAGTTAATCAGAGCAAGTATGCAAATAAACCCCAACCAAGATGGCTGCAGCCACAGAGAGCAGTTGAGAGGCTTGGGTTTCCCCAGCAATAGAGAAAGCCAAGCTTTCCACACACCCTGGCCAGCCAAGGCCTCCACTCAAGGAGACAAAGTTTCAATTATAGAAGATAAATCCCAAGAAAAATGGTAGCAGCCACGGAGCTGGAAAGAACAGGCTAGGGTTGCCCCTGCAATGGAGGAAGCCAAGCTTTCCACCTGGCCAGCCTAAGCCTCCACTCAAGGCTACAAAGTTTCAATTATAGAAGGTAAATAAATTCCAATAGAAATGGCTGCAGCCGTGGAACAAGCAGGAGGCTTTGCTCTGCTCTAGGCTACAAAGTTTCAATTGTAGAAGGTAAGTAAATTCCCGATACCAGGGCCTCTGTTTTGGTCACTAGGGAGTGTGGCTGGCCTGCTAACCACCACAGGCCCCTCTCCCAGGCCACCTCATACCCCAAGGGATCTCCCACCCTGATCTGGGACACCCTTCAGGGCAAACCAGCTGGCCCCCTCCCATGCACCAGGCCTCTATCCTATCTAATAAAAGTGTAATATGCAGATTGACCATCTCTCCAACACACAAGTTGGCTGCCCCCATATGGTCAAAGATCCTGCCCTTATGTGGACATAAGATGGCCACCATAAGATGGCCAGTTGGGAGGGACCAAGCCTGCAAGGAAGATCAGTTGGAGGTGATCAACCCTATAGAGGAGGGCAGTTAGGGAAGTTGGCAGAGTAGGGAAGTTGGGGGCAAACAGGCTGGCAGGGGAGCAGTTAGACATCAATCAGGCTGGCATGGGAGTGGTTATTGGGTGATCAGGCTGGCCGGCAAAAGCCGTTAGGGACAATCAGGAAGACAGGCAGGTGAGCAGTTGGGAGCCAGCAGTCCTGGATTGTGATGGGGATGTCTGACTGCCTGTTTAGACCCGGTCCCGGTGAGTTTAACATCCCTCAAGGGGTCCCAGATTGGAGAGGGTGCAGGCTGGGCTGAGGGACACCCTCCTACTCCGTGCACAAATTTCATGCACCAGGCCTCTAGTGTATCAATAAGTGACGGAAGAAAGCAATGTTGTTGTGGACTCTTGGAAGAAAGAAAACACTACCTTGTTAAATGTAATCAATGTATTCCGGCCACAGTGGCTCCATGGTTGAACATCGACCTATGAACAGAGGTCGGGATTCAATTCCCTGTCAGGGCACAGGGCTCAATTCCCAGTAGGGGGTGTGCAGGAGGCAGCCAATCAATGATTCTTTCTCATTATTGATATTTCTGTCTCTCCCTCTTCCTTCCTTTCCGATATTAATGAAAAAGTATTTAAAAAAATTTAATCAATGTAGACAATGGACTTTGCAATGTATATGTAATAATTTTGCCCCCTTTTTTCTAGATGTCCTATAAATCTTAACTCTTAGCTTAAAATTTATTGGATCTCTTGTGGATATTAAAAGGTTGTTGGCTGAGATTTTTGCATTATGATTAAAGACTGACTGTATAGACATGATTTGTTTTTGTTTTTCCAAAGATCCTTTAATAGCTAGTTAATAGCCCATTAACAATTTCCTCCATGACATACAAGATATATGGAGATTTAAATATTTATTCATGCTTCCTAAGAACTTAAATGAAGACAGACTATTTTGTTCTAAAAAAACAAAATGACTTCACGGTGGTAATAGGAGATCATAAATAATCTTCAACACATCCATCTATATTATGTCACAAATAACCAGTAAGTCTTCAATTCTCCCACCTCCGCCTCCTTAGTCCTTTAATGTTAATCCTTCTTCATTCTCAGAACCATTGCTGAAATGTAGATTCCTATTATCTTTTAACAGTAGCCTCCTATCCATTCTTCTTATCTCCATTCTGTCATCCATGCAGCTGTCAAAATATCCTTATAAACATAAAAACAATCATAGAGGCATCCACATCAAGCTACCTCCTTACTCTTGGTAGCTTTCTGTTGCCTGTGATAGTAGTTCTTGAAGTGTGATCCCTGAACCAGCATCATCTGAGAATTTGTTAGAAATCTAAATTTCTGAGCCCCATCCTAGTCTTAATGGACAACTCTGGTGATGGGGCCCAGCATTCTCTATTTTTAGCAAACTTTGAGGGTAGTTCTTATACACACTAAAGTTTGAGAACTAATAACCTATAATAGAACTAATAACTAATAACTTACACTTAAAATTCTTTAGCTTGGCCTTTGTAAGGCTTTTCCTACTTTATGCCTACCTTCTGTTACCAAATCTACTGTGAGTTATCACACTTTTTAAAAAATATATATATTTTTTATTGATTTTTTACAGAGAGGAAGGAGAGAGATAGAGAGTTAGAAACATCAGTGAGAGAGAAACATCAATTAGTTGCCTCCTGCACATCACCTACTAGTGATGCCTCCTGTACATCCCCTTGACCAGAATTGAACCTGGGACCCTTCAGTCCATAGGCTGATGCTCTATCCACTGAGCCAAACCGGTTAAACACCCTGAATTTGTTAGTGGAGCACCTGGTACTTTTTAATTTCTCTTTCCTTGCTACTCTAGGTTTGAATGACATTCTTCCTTATGCTCTTTTGCCTGGTGAACATCTATCCATACTTCAAAGGCAGCTCAAACTTTACCTCTTTGGGGAATATTTCTTTTATCCCTTTAAGTAAAATGAACAACTCTCTGCAGTGTGCTCCTTTTGAGAAAACCCTTTTTTGATTATGTGGATGTATTTATTATTATTTTGTCTTTCTCATTTGAACAAACACTAAGTGTAGGTATTACAATTATTTATTTTGATTTATCAAAACTGGAGTTTTAGCTCATAGCAGAATCTGTTAGCTGTTTTTCTGTGTAATTTGTTGTTATCACAGGATTTTTTGAAATATCAATGAAATAGCATATAAAAATGCTTTCAAAATTGTGTAGTGTTTTACATAAATAAAGTGATAAATAAATTCATTTATCATTAGAATAAACATCCAGAGAAATGTTTACAGAGCACTATCTGCATATTATGAACTTCTTTTAGGAAGTGACTTGATTGCTTAGTAATGTGGGAATTCTATAATGTATGAAAAGCACTTTCTGTTGCTTCTGTCTGTGGCATGAACTTAACATGCATCTCTTTATAGCAGATTTGATTTCTTTATAACATGTTTGACTCCTATGCTTATATCACAGAAAGAAAAGAGACATGTATTGAGTTCATGCCACCATATTGTTAACATCCCAGATAATTCAGAGAAGCCTATATAGAATTTTAGATAATGTATTAGGGGTTCTGCAGGGAAGGCTAATAAGAATATTCAGGATTAATCTTGGTTTTAAATTCTAATAAACTAGATGTGTATTACATTATTTGGCTTTCTTAACCATGTTAATGACAACATATTTGTTGGAATATCGCACATTTATATAGTATTCTAAATATTGAATTTAACCAAGGAAATCAGAAATAAATATTACACAATTAATACTATGGCACTTAAAGCATAAGCAGAAAGAATATATCATGCACATAAAGTAACATTCTGATTAACCTGCACTTGGGTGAGCCAGGAAGTTGCAAGTATAGAACAGGGAGAACTTACAATTTCTATGTAAGTACTGCCTATAGCAGATCCCAAGGAAAAAGATAAAAATAGAAAGCCTTGCCATTTTATGAAGTTCACTGTGAGAAGTTTGAGAAACTATGTTCCCCCTTCTAAGTACCCTGTTCCCCCAAAATAAGACAGTGTCTTATATTTAATTTTTTCTCCCAAAGTTGCGCTAGGTCTTATTTTCAGGGGATGTCTTATCTTTCCATGCGCTAGGTCTTATTTTCAGAGGATGTCTTATTTTCGGGGAAACACGGTATATATATTTCTTAAAGGTAGAGGTTCACACCCACACCCACCACCCCACATGCGTATTCGCATGTACACACACACACACACACACACACACACACACACACTCACACACAAAAAAGAAAACAACCACCCTCCTTACACATACTATGATTTGAGACCTGTTTTTTTTTAAAAAATATATTTTATTGATTTTTTACAGAGCGGAAGAAGAGAGGGATAGAGAGTTAGAAACATGGATGAGAGAGAAACATCAATCAGCTGCTCTTGCACACCCTCCACCAGAGATGTGCCAGTAACCAAGGTACACGCTCCTGACCAGAATCGAACCTGGGACCTTTCAGTCGGCAGGCCAATGCTCTATCGGACTATCCACTGAGCCAAACCGATTTCAGCTGATTTAAGACCTTTTACATGTTACATTGACAATGTGATTGATATATTGAATTATTAAGCTAGTCAGTGCTTGTGTAGATTTGAGGGAAAGTTTCGAGAATTAATTATAGGGTTACATCTCTGTAGATAAATATTTACAAACCCTGCAGGATATGCTGTAAATACAAACACATATTTTTAATGAATAGAGATGTGTATTAATACCGAGTTTATGCTTTTCTGTGTGTATATTTTAAGGATATTAATAGAAAAAGTACCAACGTGGTGGAATCTTGGGGTGGAACCAAAGAAAAACAAGCTTACACCCACATCATCTTCAAGAATGCAACGTTTACATTTACATGGGCATTCCAGAGAACTAATCAGGGGCAAGATGTAAGTTCCAAGTTTTTTTTTTTGTTTTGTTTTTTTTTTAATACGAAGATGATGCCCCAGTGATTTATAGAAAGTGATCACTCAGATCTCCTGGAGGAAAGATAGCATTTTACTGATGTGAAATCAAACATTTGGTTATGAAGTAGACTGGTATAAAAATGGTTATTTTTTTTTTTTTTGAGAGCAAGAATGTATGAAATGGAATAATACAGTGGATCTTTGAATTGTTCTACACTGTGACAATTATAGTTACTGGAAGCTTAAGAGAAAGAACATTTAATTTTGTAGTTATTTAAAACCTTACTTTTAAAGCTTTCTGAGACTCTGAAAAGACTTTTGCCTTACTTTCTTTTCACTTGAATGATCAGGCATTTGCTTAAAAGGCATTAACAGATGTTGGTTTATAATTTCATTACAGTAATGTCTTCTTTTATAGCCTGGAGAATGTATGTGGACCCAGGATTGGGTTAACACATAGAATTATTTACCCTCTTTCCCTGTTCGAGTAGACCTTCATCCTCCACTAAGTAATTCCCATTGTATGTTTCAATAGTAGCAAGATTTTTGTTCTTGTGAATCTCCAAAGATGTGAACTTCCTAACTTGAGAACAAGGTAAACCACAAGTTAAGAAGCTGCCTCAAAAGCTGAGGTGGCTGAAGGAGCATTTTCTCTTTTCTCTTGAGGCTTTCCCTGGGGAACCCATTCCCCAGGTTTACTGGCCTCCAGTTTTGTTCTTTACGAGCGTTCAGATCACCATCATGCAGGCATGAACATGCTAGGGATGCTTCCTTGCCTTCTTGCTTTGCTCCACACAAAAAGCATTTAGTCTAGAGTAGTGCTGCCCTGTACTAGCAGTGTGACGCCCACTGCTTGGATGAAAATGAGCCCTTAATTGACCCATTATATCTCAATAAGGAAAAGCATAAAGTAAGCCACAGATTCTTGCTCTCCTTTGCAAATTCTTTCAGTAGAAAACAGAGAACCTTGGTTAGGAAAAGTACGAGAGAGAGGAGAGAGGAGAGAGGAGAGAGGAGAGAGAGGGAGAGGGAAAGGGAGAGGGAGAGGGGGAGAGGGGGAGAGGGGGAGAGGGGGAGAGAGGGAGAGAGGGAGAAACAGAGACAGACAGGAAGGCCCAAAGAGGTCATATGATTGCATCAATATTGCACAATTAGTTAGGGTGAGGGCTAGAGTCTTATTCTTCCAAGGCTAGTCCACGGTTTCTGCCCGGAAACACTGTTGGCATCTATTGTAGCATTAGGTTTGGGCTTCTATCTTGAGTAAATGGGAGAATAAAGCTGCTCCTCTATTAAGCCATGCTAGTTCTGCTAGATGTAAAGTCTATAAAATACGCCCGAGTTAGTACCAAGTATGACATATCCATGGTGACTGTGACAAAACTCCTGGGACTCCATTACTGTGGACTTAACACAGTCTGGTGTTAAGGTTTTTAAAGAAAAAAATAACAAACAACCCCCTCACCCCCAATAATATTAATCCATTGTCAGTTATAAACTGTAAGGCTGGAGCACTCTGCTTATTTTGGTGATATCAACATAAAGCAGTTTGATTGTCCAAGTGAGCCCCAAAGCAGAAGTCATTAGTTTCTGCTCTCTTTTTAGAATAGACGGTTCGTCAGTGACGTGGTGAAGATTTATTCTATCACCGCCACTAACGCAGTTGATGGGGTGGCAGCCTCCTGCCGTGCCTGTGCCCTCGGTTCTGAACGGTCGGGCTCATCGTGTGTCCCCTGCCCCCCAGGCGACTACATTGAGAAAGGAACCAACCAGTGCAAGGAGTGTCCCCCTGACACCTACCTGTCCATACATCAGGTCTATGGCACTGAGGCTTGTATTCCGTGCGGGCCTGGGAGTCGAAGCACGCAGGTGAGTGAGTCCACTTTAAGAGAGAAACTCAGAAGTGCCCTGGAATGGTTGTTCAGGAGCTACAAGGTTGTTAGCAATATTTATCGATGATTTTTTTTTTTCTCTCTCACTCCCTCTCTTGTTTTCTCTCCTTTTTCGTTTATTGATCACTTAGTGGATATGTTCCATGTAAGTGCTAGTATCTGGGGACGTCCAATTTTAAGAAAAGCACTCAAATAAGAATGCTTTCCAACAATACTAAATTTCTTGCGGTTCTGTTAAGGCAGACCAAGAAAACAACCTCTGTAGGTGGGTACTAGGAACATACAGAGAGCAGCAAGTGAGTCTTATAACATTTTAAGGGCAAAGGTTGATGCTATATTATGAATGAAGGAGAAAGGAGTTTTATTGTTTATTTAAATGGAAGTAACAGGGACATTTGACTATGAAAATACCTTTCTACAGGATACTAACCTTGGAATAGCTACTTTGAAATGTTCTGAACCTTCTAATCATTGCCTAAAGAAAATCTAGTTAGCTTATAGAAACTCCCTGTATTAGTATGGTAAAATATACTATGACGAAGATAAAATCACTAAAATAGATTTTAAACTAGGATTTAAAAAAAAAACAACACGTTTTTTCAGAGTAACTAATACTTTCTTTCCTGCTATATTATTAAACTTCTTTTTTTTTTTTACATTTCTTAATCTCAATCAAAGGACCACTCCGCTTGCTATAGTGACTGCTTTTTCACCCACGAGAAAGAAAACCAGAGCTTGCACTATGACTTCAGCAACCTCAGCAGCGTGGGCTCTCTAATGAATGGCCCCAGCTTTACCTCCAAGGGGACAAAATACTTCCATTTCTTCAATATTAGTTTATGTGGGCATAAGGTGAGTTCTGGCTGCAGAGGTGAGATGGGGTTATATTTCAGCTCAGAGTGAGTTAATATTTTCTATGTTGATGGCCCAGTAAAATCTCTCTGGAAACTAACGCCCACATGTCAGAAACTGAGCTTTGATGGCTTGAGTCCTCTGCTGCCTTCTAGCATGTAGGTTGGCAGCTTTCTCCACCAGGGGCAACCTTGCCTGATTCTCAGTCCATCAAAGCATGCATCCAGTCTCTTGAACCCCTAACCTCGGAGTGATGGTTTAAGTGCTTTGAGGATCCTTTGTTTGTGTAAAAGTGGATCAAGCTTGTCATCTCTCCTGTTTTTTAGGCAGGCAGTTATAGTTTGAGAAAGTTTTACTGTTGTTTAATGTGTGTCTTTATTCACATTCTCTTAGTTTCAAGGACATTTATCTGCTCAACTACACAGTAAGTTTAAAGGAACAAATAAAGTTGATCCAAAAGAAGAAAGGTGTTAAGCAGGAGACAAATGTCGGTTGATCAGATAGTTGATCTGCTAATAAATCATGGGATTTTCTTTTCCGTGGGAAGAAGCAGACCTTAATTGGCACTGGTAATGGGGAGAGTTATAGGACTATATGTTGAATATTTTTAAGGGCATATAAGGTTGGGATTTCCTCCATGTCTCTTTCTACAGTAATTCCTGTATATCTAATGGTCTTCATTATGAGCGGCTGTGCCAAACTTTATACAAAGGAAATAAAAAGAGATTTAATGATCACATAAATTCTTAAAAAAATCTATAAATTTTACATGGCATGACATTCATCTTGTCCTAATTTGATGTACTCAGTCAGTTAGTCGCTCAATTTACTCAATAATATATATTAAGTATCTATTATGTTTACTACTGTGTCAAGCAGTGAATGAGATTAATTTCATTATATACCACTCTTCTTCTTAGTCCTGTATTACCACCATCTATGTTTCCATCTTTTCTCTTCTCCTTCTTCTTTCTCTTTCCCCCCCACTTATATTTTCACTCCTTTCTGTTTACAGTTGGCTTTCTCTTTTCTTCCTTAGTAGTGTATCTCTGCTCTTTTCCACTTTTCTTTTTGGCTTCAACAATTTAATTTGAGCTTAGTAAAAATATGTTGCACCTGTATTGAGGGAGAACATTTCATGGGTTAAGACTACCAACTGCCTTAACAAAGTGAAATCTTGATTCTTTTCTTTATGCTCATGTGTGTACACTCTACATCTAAGACCAATAAACTAGTGTTCCTATTTTCCTTTGTACTTTTCTTCATAGAAATTATAGAGCAAGCTAGAGTCCTTTGCATTGGGAGTATAGTATATTTAAATGTATTTAAAGAGTCTTCCAATTTTTATAAATGGTATCTTCCAAATGGTTATAAAAGTTAACCTTTCTGTTCCCTTAAACTTAACTGTGCAGTTGAGCAGATAAATGTCCTTGAATCTAAGAGTATGTGAATAAAGACACTTGTGACCAACTGTTTACAATTTTGATGCTGTCTTAGGATTCTGTGGCAATATGGCTTATATGTTTCTTCTTCAGCCTTCCCATTACCTTTGTGGGACACATCAGCCTACTTTTTCTTGGCATCAGCTGTTTTCTGGTCTCTTTGCATGCATTGTTATCCTATGAATTGAAGAGTTCATAGATGACTTATACTGCCTTATGTTAAATGGCTTCCATCAACCACATATGATGCTTGCAGTTGGAGGAGGAATGCAGCCTTGAGTTAGTATATTCATCATAACCCCAGTGACTCTCAATCCTGGTTGAAACATTAGAATAGACTCGAGAGCTTTTAAAAAATATTGGTGGCTCGGCCTCCCACCAGATCTAATAAATCGTAATTGCGGTGAGGCGAGAACCACTACCCTCCTAGAGTCCCTGGCTAGCTGAGATCCAGTTTAGAGAGTGACCCCCCCATAAAACTTCTTTATGACTTTATTTTCCTAGGGGGAGAAGACGGCTCTCTGTACCAACAATATAACAGACTTTACAGTAAAGGATATGGTGGCAGGCTCAGATGATTACACGAATCTGGTAGGAGCATTTGTATGCCAATCAACTATAATTCCTTCTGAAAGTAAGGGTTTCCGAGCAGCTTTATCATCACAATCCATCATTCTGGCAGACACATTTTTAGGTAAGCTTCATTTCATTCTTATATACACATATAAAACTAGGGTACTGATAACCTGTCATAGCATTGGTTTTTATCCTGGATGATTAAAGCCCACAGGTAGTTTTAAATCATCCCTTTGTGACATGGTTAAAAAGCCTCTACAAGTGAGATCTATTCATTAATATCAGAGAGTACAAGGAACTTCTGAATTTATGTATTGACTCATATGTGATATGTGTTTTCTGAGAGTTGGCCTTGTATCAGATCCTCTAGGAGTTTAAGAGACAAAAAGATTTAAAACACCAAAACTAGAAAGAAAAGAAGAATAGTAAACAGACACAATATAAACCTAAATTATAATATCTATCATCCATTTTCATCATTTTTTTTATACCAGAAGTAAGTTGGTGACAAGTAGAAAAGGTGAATGTGCTGAGTTTTATTTCCCATCTGCTTGTCTATCAATGTGTTGTCAAGAACATAGGGATTAAAAAAAAAGAAAAAAAAGAAAAAAGAACATAGGGATATTTTAAGAAGAATTCAGGTTCCTGTTAGTAATTCAGAGGGATCAAATTCATTAGACTTTTTGGAGTGGGGCTTAGGAACCTAACAAGGCATATAACAATCCCACAAATCTAACAAGCTTCTTAGATGAGTCTAATATGCAGCCAGATTTGAGAACATTGTTATGGGTTCCAGAGGAGTTGAGCTTTACTTTCAGCACCAAGGTCAGTTACTGAGCTTGTGCTTGGTGCAGAAGCTGTCAAAAGCAAAGGTCGCTGTTACTGCTTGCATTTTGGCTCTGCCATCATTTTACTCAGGGGAAAAATGCCTTAGTATTAGATTAAGCAAAGTTTGGAGTTATTTTTGGAAATTATTAGGGTACAAGAATCTTGTTTGGGTCAAATGTAATGAATGTGAAAAAAGCTGTATTAGCAAAGTTGCCCAGCTTATTTGACAAAAGTCACCAGAGACTGAGAAGTATAATAGTGGATTGTTCAAATGTTAGATTTGGAAGGGACTTAAGAGATATTGTAATTACTGCATGCATTTTACAGATTCAGGACATAAGAACCAAGGAAGTGAAGTGACTTAAGCAAAATTACAAAACTAGGGAATAGAATATTTTATTTTTCATAAACTTTGGAAAGTTTCTTATTGTCATATTAATTTAATGTAATATTTCTGCTAAAATTACAGTATAAAAGTAAAGCTATTGATATTTTTATTCAGATATACAGAGAATAAATAAACTTAATTTTCCCATCTTGCTCAGAAGTGTCTTTTTTTATTGCCTTGTAGGAGTGACAATTGAAACCACATTGCAAAATATTAATATAAAAGAAGATATGTTCCCAGTTCCACCGAGCCAAATACCAGATGTGCATTTCTTTTACAAGTAAGTGAAGATGCTGTTTCCCTTGACAGTTTTTTTTTTAATCAAGAGAATGTCACTTCAGGGTGCCAGCTTAGTAGCTTATAATTAATAGATAATTAACAATTGGTTCTTAAATAAATTACTTAGTAAAAAGTAGGAAACATGGAATAGTTTGAAAATCTCATATAATTTTGCTCATATATATATATTTTAAATTAAGCAAAATATAATATTTTAAATTCTGTAATTCTGCCTCTATTGTATAGGCAGTATTTATTTATAACTTATACAACTAGACATCAGCCTGAGTGGATATGACATTTTTCCCTTTAAAATTTCTTTTGATTATAATTTTGATTTTAATTATAGAAGCTTTACTAAACACCTTGATAATAAGCTTATCACTTTACCTGAGAAAATAGTAAACTTTTCATAGTAAAAAAAAAAAAAAAGGCTTTCTTTGTATTAAAATTATAAAGTAGTGACCTTTGATTCCTTTTCCTTTTCCATTTGTTTATATAGCATAGGAGTTTTTATATGTAGGTTATTTTTGTCCTTGTAATCTGTATCATACATATTTTGTAAAGTGATATGTGCTTTGCAATAGGTCTTCTGCAACCACAACATCTTGTGTTAATGGCCGGTCAACTGCGGTGAAAATGAGATGTAATCCTACAAAACCGGGAGCTGGAGTGATTTCAGTCCCCAGGTAACCTTATTTCTAAAGGATTATTTACATTTGTATGTATTGATATTACGAGGAAGCAACACTCTAGTATCTTAATATTTTAAAATATATTCTCTGTGGCTGTAAAGCAGAGACTAGCGGACTCGGTAGATTTGGATGCAGGTTACATTGAGTGCCTGTTAAAAGTTTTGCTGCGCCCTGCCGGCATGGCTCAGTGGTTGAGTGTCGACCCATGAACCAAGAGGTCATGGTTAGATTCCCAGTCAGGGCACATGCCCGGGTTCCTGGCTTTCTCATCATTAATGTTTCTACCTCTCTCTCACTGTCTCCCTTCCTATCTGAAATCAATAAAAAATATTTTTTAAAAAAGAGGTTTTGCTCCATCTCAGTATTTCCCAGTCTCCTCAACAATATATTCTCCTCTGTTTGCCTGATTGTCTAATAAATCTATTTAAAAATTGTTTAGGTAATATATACTTATACTGTTTCTGTCCTTGTACTTATTCATATGATTTAGCCTCAATTTCTTTGAGAGCTGGATTAGGAACTTTTCTGGGCGATCATTCTTTATCAACAATGAGCTATTGGGGTGATTTAGATTAAATAATCTAACCTCTGAGTCATAGTTTCTTTCTCTGTGAAGGGATGGGACCAGAGTGGATAATTTATATGATCCATTTCTAACTCTCGAGTTTTCCGATTAATGGTGACAAAGTCACTAAGATGAAATGTGACCTAGAGACTACATGATGCTGTTCATTTAACTGATTGGCAACAGCTGTCCACATTCTAGCTCCATTTTATACATTCACTTTGTGTGGGAACACTAGGAGAAAGGAAGCAATTTCATAGACTCAGATTTCTGTTCTTCACAATTATTCATTGTTCAATATGTATATTATTTATTCTAATATTTTTTAAATCTTTTGATGGATTATAGTTTGCAAATTTTCCTTCATCAAACTATCAAAGTTTATGTTTTTTAAAGAAAATAATGTACTTATTTTTTATTTTTGATAGTTTCATAGTAGGCCTTGAGAGATCTTAAGTTATCCTGCTTATATTGCATCAGGATTGGAAGTGAGCTGTCTAAGCATTGTTTCAATTACTTGGGCATCTTGAAAATAATTACAGTGGTAACAGTATTTGAGGCTTATTTCTGGGCATAAAGCATTCACCTCTTACCAGTTGTGTTTCTCTGGTCTTTATAGATCTATGACTTAATTTTTCTTTCCACCTTTTCTAAGTGAGAGAAGAATGTGATGAGATTATATAATAAAAGGTAATAGATATCAATCAGTGGGATAAACAGAGGGAGCTTACTGCTCAAGAGCATTGTGGGGAGGGAAACAAACTTTGCTCTGCCCTCAAGTTTCTTCAGGTTGGACTAATAATGAAACAGACTTGAGGCAGATTAGCAAGAGAAAATAACCAAATTTAATACATAGATGGAGAGATTCAGAGATAGGGAGGGGGGTTGAGATACTAGACATCCAGAGCAAGGGACAATGTAATGTACCCTGGGGTCTTCAAAAGGTCATTGCAGGATGATCAGAACAGACTTTTAGTAACTAGAAGTTTGCCCTGCCCTGTAGATAGTAAAGGGAGGGGCCAAAGTTTATCTTGAGCCTGAAGCTAAAAGTGCCCTTAGCTTAAACAGTAATCTGCATATCACAGAGGCATACTTTGGGATATCTCATTCTGGTTCCCCAAAGCATCTGGTAGTGGAAGATCCCCTGGGCTAGCATCAGTAATATGATCCAATTTTATTGATTTTTTACAGAGAGGAAGAGAGAGGGATAGAGAGTTAGAAACATCGATGAGAGAGAAACATCGATGAGAGAGAAACATCTACCAGCTGCCTCCTGCACACCCCCTACTGGGGATGTGCCCGCAACCAAGGTACATGCCCTTGACAGGAATCAAACCTGGAACCTTCCAATCCACAGGCCAATGCTCTCTATCCACCTAGCCAAACCGGTTTTTGCAAGTCAGAGATCCTTTAACTCTTCTCCAAAGCCCTACCATATGGCTTTGAGTTCAGATTGCTCACTCTCTTTAGCACCTCTAAGATCCTTTTTGGACCTAGCAACTAACCTTTCTGGTCTAGCCTCTAGGAATCTATATGGGTGACTTGTGAAGCCTCCTCCAGATCTCTGAATTGAGCAGGCAATGTTGCTAAAAGACTAGTCTATCCTTTAGAAAGTATCTCTCTTTAACTATTCTAAAATAGGCTTTGAGTTTTTAAAGTAATAATGAAAAATAATCTCATGATGTTAAGTGATTTTTGTTGTTGTTGTTGTGAGTAGAGGGAAATTTTTTGTTTTTGTGAGGAGAGAAGTTAAGCTTCTTCTTTGACCCCTACTATGTTTTCTTACTTAGGAACCTTAACTGACTTTTCAAGGGTTTCTTAAGATCCCCTGCAGCTGAACGCCTTGTGGTGTCTATTTTAAAACCATTTTCTAGACTGTCCCTAACATGTAAAGAATCTCTTAGTATTCAGCTCAGTAATATCTTTAATAATATCTACAATCTAACCTTTAGTTCTTTCTTGAGTCAGTTTCTCATCAGGGCACAAGGGGGAGCTCTGGGACCAGAGCAGCAGAAGCAGAAGCTTGTTCTGAAAAAATTAGAATTCTCTTTAGCAGCAGGGCCAATAAAGATTTGCGATTTCCTCCTAATGGTAAAGTGAGGGCATAGGTGGGGGAGTGGGTGGGGTGGATGGGGTCAATGGGGTGATAAGAACACATATGTAATATCTTAATCAATAAAGAAAAAATAAAAAAAGAGAAATGTTTACAAAGCCAGATACTTAAGCTACTTTTGAATAGGACTGAATCTACATTTCTTGAGGGTTGGGGCTTTAAATTCTCCAGGAGAGAGAGAGGAAGGTGCTACCCTGTTTCCCCCAAAATAAGACAGTGTCTTATATTATTTTTTTCTCCCAAAGTTGCTCTAGATCTTATATTCAGGGGATGTCTTGTTTTTCCATGCGCTAGGTCTTATTTTCAGAGGATGTCTTATTTTCGGGGAAACACGGTAAGCAGGCAAATGCCTTGAGAAGTTTCTCACACCGATCAAGAAGTCTCAGAAGGGAGACTGACAGATAGAAAAGGATGCTCCCTCCAGCCCCCCTCCCGCCAAAAGGTAGCATCTTTGTCCAAGAATCTTGGCAAACCAGCCAGGCAATGGCAGGGTTGGCAGTCGTAATGTTGGTTGGGGCTCTGTGTCTTGGTAACCTGGGAAAATGTCACAAGACCCCTCTCTCCCCCCAGCCCTGAGAAAATGAGATGGTCTTAACAGATAGTGGATGAGGCAAGAGAAAAGGGAAAATGTGTGCTCTCTGCGTAGCTCATGGAGAATTTAGAGAGCAGCAAATTATCGGGACCGCCTGCTAATCTGCAGTTGAATCACCAGCCTGTCTGTTTGGTTTGGCAAATGCAGTTGGTTTCTAATTCCACAAAGTGTCTGGAGGGTGCGAGACATTTTAGATAAAGACTTAGCAGCGTGATGTGTGTGCTAGGCGAAATCTGAGAGCTGGAGTGGACGTTTGAGATTATCTACTGCAGCCTGTAGCTTGGCCAGAGAATAAATTGCTAACACAATAGGCCACTAATATCCCCAAATAGATGTCCCTCCAGCCTCTGTCTGAAAGGCTTTCCAAACCTCTAAGCATGATTGCAGGTGGTTAGAGGAATTGAAGGCTCTCCTTTCATTAGGAATAATTCGACCGACGCATTGTGTCCAAAGTGCTTTAGAAAACGAGAGATGTCTTTTAGTGGAAAGGTTATAAAAGAGCCTTATTAGAAAACAGACAGAGGGAACCAGTTTTAGTTGGATAATCGAAATGTCATAGCACATTGCAGATCCTTAAGTCAGACCCATTGGCTATTCACAGTGGGAAACGGGGAACACACACATTGTATAGCTATCAAGTGGCACAGTCAGGACGGACTGATTTCCTGACCGTGTTAGTTGCTCTTTCCATGCCATCTTTTTATTCCCCTCCCTCTAATTCCTTATAGGTAAAGATTTGCAATGAAGGACCCTAAGCAGAGGCAGCTATCACACTTATCCAGGGATAACTCAACTGATCTGCATGTTGTAGACGCCTTCCTTTAATGAGTCAACTTTCCTCAAACACAGTCTTCTTTATTAATGTTGTGAGTTAGAGGAAAAATCAGCCTCTTCACTCTTTCATCACTTACCACCATATTTAACTGCTTGGGTAGTTTATATATATCAGTCTAAAGTTATTTTGCCAAAACCTCCTTCAGATTCCAGATTTATCTTCATTGTAGGTGTAGCCTCTGAGCATACTGTCTCTCTGAAAAGGGGCGTTTCTCAGTCCTGCCCTGCCCTGATGGTGCCCAGGGACCAGTGTGCCAGGGCTCATCCCACAGGCTCTGATTCAGAGTCTGTCCAAGTTACTGGATGCTAGTCTAGTGTTTTCCTTTGGTCTTTGGGGAAGGGCTGTTAAAGCCCAAAGTCTTTCCATTTTAAGTTGTTAAGAGCAAGAGAATAATGATTGGTTTAGTGAGTTCCTTTTTTTCTTTTTCCTCTGCACTATATATGGACAAGTTATAGATAATCTAAATCTGTATAAGTTAAGTAAAAAAAAGGTAATAGAATTGAAAAGATTAAAACCAAGTATGGTCTTATAACATTAGAAAGTAAGGACACAGTCCTCATCCATAGGTGTAAGATTTTTGTCCAATTTCTTCCCGCACTCCTCACGCCCCCTCTCCCCCTCCAGAGGACAGTGGTGGTGGGAATCAGGTAGAGGGGAGCAATGGGGGGGAAAAAGAGGAACATCTGTAATAGTCTGAACAATAAAGATTTATTTAAAAAAAAGTAAGGACACATATAAAAGCATTATGTGCATAAGCATAAACAACTAAAACCCATTCTGTTAAAGAAATGTAAATGCTCTAATACAGAATTATTAAAATGATACAGTTCAGGCATTAATGAGTAATCCTAAGAGATGTATATTAAAATATCACAGAACAGTCATAACACTGTAGGATCGATTTTAAAATAAGGTTGTAAAGTTTTGACAGGTATTTATTTCACTGTAGAAGATAAAGCCTATAGATAAAAAGGACTAGGGAATGTCAGTTAATGTAGTTGGTCCAGGTCTTGATCAGATGCTGACTTATGGTTATCACCCCAGGGTAAATCTTTAGAAAAGAAGACTGGTAGAATTTTCTATCACTGAATGTAAGAGCTGTGGGTCAAACTATCTTACATTCAAACCCAGTCAAAAGTGATTTATGCTCTTCAGCCTTAGGGCAAGTGAAATTGGAACACGATGCAATAGCATTGTCTGGACCCTGCCAACGTGGGTTTCTGCCAATGACAAGGCAAGACTAGGGCATCACCCATCCCAGAGGTTGTCAGTTTTCTGACCCCAAGACTGGAATCTTAAGAAACCTACCAAAGCCCCACCTGAAAGAAGTTTAGCAACATTAGTCCCCTCACATCAAACAAGAAATGTTCTAGGCACACAAGACTGTGGCCATTCCCCCAGTTCCTGGGACTAATCCAAAAAGAATCAGAAATATAGTGACAAGGTAGATGCATTTGTTTTAACTTTGGATTTTGAATGAAGCTTAGGCAAAACAATTTTACACTGCTTCATCAACTACCCAAACAATTAATGGGAGGTTGAGTGTTAGGTCATCATAGTTCCAAAGAAAACAAGGTTTGTCTCCACAAATTCATAATATGAACCAAGCAGATTCTTCTGTGAGTACAATGATTCATGTGAAAGAGGACACTAATAACTCACAGCTCAGTACAGTTATGTCCCAGGAAATAGATTCCATTTTAAAATCTAAGATATAACTTCCCAAAAAGAGATTTATCTGAATTCCTACACGTTGCCAGTGCCATCCTGGTTGGTAAGGCAATCCGCAAATCAAAATAAACTGGAAAATTTCTTCCTCACTTATCAATAAAACAAAATCAAGATTCACCTGGTTGTCCTTTGAATATAAGATGGTCTCTGTACCTGGAATTCACACCACACCTGTTCATCCTGTAGAACTCTAGTCTTGTATGCCCCAGCTATCCACACCCTAGTCCTGTCTCTCAACATTTACTCACTGGTTTCTATGGTGATTGCATGGACCAAAAGTGATAAAAGAAGCAAAATTAGTGATACCTCTAGAAAGGTGGGGGTAGGAGGTGAAGATAGTGGTAACTCAGGTCTTCAAATGGAAAAGTATTTCACATATTGAGCAATAAAGTGTTTATCTTAGTATTCACTTTTTGTTTTTCTCTCAGTAGGAAAAAATATTTTTTCTCTTGCATCTTTTGAGAGAGAGAGAGAGAGAGAGAGAGAGAGAGAGAGAGAGAGAGAGAGAGAGAGAAAGGTGAGAAAGAAACATCAGTTGGTTGCTTTTCATGCTCATAAGTGGCCCAACTGGGGATCAAACTGGGGATGCAACCAAGGTATGTGCTCTGACCCAGAATTGAACCAGCAACCCTTCAGTGCATGGGACAGTGCCCAACAAACTGAGAAATTCTGACTGGGGGGGGGGGGGGGGGGGGGGCGGTGGCTCTTCCTCCTCCTCCTCCTCTTCCTTATATTCTGTATAAGAACCATCAAAATTGTTACTGCTTCATACATCCTTGTTTCACAGGAAAGGCTTGATTCAAACTGTGAAACATATTTATAACAAAGGACCAAATTTGAATATTCCACATTTTAAATGATTCATTGGGTTAAAAGAAGTAAAGAATTGATTCTAAATTAAACTGCTTTTAACCTAAGAATTTCTTTGGAAATGTGAAATCTACCAAGGAAATGGCACTGAATCATTGCAGTATTTTGACACCGAATGGCAGCTTACAAAGTACATCAATGTCTTGATTTTTTTTTTTTCTGTTCCTGTAGTTCTCTAGTTCTTTAGAAAGTGATGTGCATTGTTAATAGTGCTTTATGTTTTGAAGTGCTTTAGACTTTCCCAAATTGTTCTTTCATTTTATCCTTTATAACCACCCTGTGAAAGCAGTATAGCAGACATTCCGCTTTTGACAAATTACAAAAAATGACATGGTGGGAGGGGTGTTGAGTCACTTGTGAAAAACACAATCACTTGAAAGTTCAGTTGGAATTGTAATTGAAGCTTTCTCTCCAGAGCCTTTTGCAACTTTGATTAAATTTCCCCCTTTCTTTGTGATTTGAGTTCTTTCTTCTCAAACTTTCGTGGGCCTACTCTTTTATTTTCTGAAGATAAACAGCCTCCCCCCACCCTTTAAAACTTCTCTGTGTTGGAAAGGTAAAATAGAAAACAATTTGGGGAGGCCAGATTTGAGCAAGAAAGCATGCTGGTAATACTTGCTAAATGACCAGAAAAGTGGCCTTATTTTTAAAATTGCAAGTCATTGTTAAGAAAATAATAATTGTATTATTGAAGAATTTTCCTAATTGGTTACCCAATTTTTTCCAAAAGAACAATTTTGAGTTGCTTCTACTGATCTGGAAGGTGGGTCTTAGGAATAATGTTTAAAATTGATGTAGTTTTTATCTACTGCACTTACCTTTAAAAAAACATTTTTTATTAGTCTAAATATATGTATCAATCCATTTTTACACACTGAGAAATTAAGAGTGAAGCCATTTTCCCAAAAGAATCTCTGACAATAGCAGGGCTCCGTTTCCAAAGCAGGTAGTTTACATTCCACCCATGTTCGCTTAGTCTGCAGCACAAAGACACTTTGGAAAAAAGATAGGTAGGTAAAATGCAGTCAACTTCTAGGCATATAGAATTTTTGTGTGCTCATAGTCTAAGAAACATGATATATTTACTTAAGATATGAAATTTTGCCTTTTCGGTAGACTAAAAATTATAGTTTTGGCATTTGAAGTTAAAACTTGAAAGGATTTTTTTTTTTTAATTCTCCCTGTTACTGTGTATCTATCTTTTTTGCTTTTAAATGTTTCAGGACACCTGTTCTCAGCACCAGTTAAGGCTGAAGGAGCTTAAGGGAGGTGTAGTAGACAAATTAAGGGAATATTTCTCTAGTTTTACAAATCCGTGAACAGTCATCCCTACTAGAATTTTCCCAAATACTTTCTTACTTCAGTAATCTCTACACAGTAGCAGCAGGTTCATTTTTGAGCCATGCTGTGTTTATCTGCTGAGTAATAAATAGTCCATTGTATGGATAGACCACATTTGGTTTATCCGTTAACCATCTTAATGTTGAGGGACATTTGGGTTGTTTCCACATTTTGGCTGTTATGCATAATGCTGCGATGGACATTCATGTACAAGTTTTTCTGTGAAAATGTTTTGTCTCCTATAGATTATTTTTTTTTTTATTTCTGTTTTCTCGGTATCCACTCATTACTTCCCAGCATGTAGTCCACACTCAGATGTTGATTAGGATTGGTTGAATGTGATACAAAAGCTGTCTTTATTTATAAATTTTTTTATTTCAGCAAGTGTCCAGCAGGCACCTGTGATGGGTGTACATTTTACTTCCTGTGGGAGAGTGCCGAAGCCTGCCCTCTGTGCACAGAGCATGACTTCCATGAGATTGAGGGCGCCTGCAAGAGAGGATTGCAGGTAAGGAGCAAACCTACCTCCGCAGAATTGTGTCACTGAAGATACAGTCCTTGTTTCACATTGCTTACATCACAGAAACTCAGATTTGAGAGCATGGCTAAAGCTTCTAGTTCCCTTAGCTACATGCGTTTAAAATCAAGTGTGGTAGCTGCAGTCCCATACGCTGAGGTAGCTGAAGTTATACACAGCATTCAAAGACAGTGTTGCTCACGTATAGTGACTGTTGAGCGGTTCCTTTTTAACATTATTAAGTAGGTCAAGGATGAAATGTTCAGATTCACAAAACATGATGTCTTTTAAATCTTCATAATAATAGTGATATACTTCTAATGCTCCCCAATGGAAATTTATCTTTACCTTTTCTCTAAAATTGTGATAAACTTATAATCATTTTTTAGAGTAAATGAAAAACTAAGATGCCCCCCCCCCCTTTTTGGCTATCAAAAGTTTAACTCAAGTTTTGAAAATCTAAACTAGAATACCTTTATTAAAATATTCTTTAATATTTAATATTTCTATTCTGGAAGGTAATGATTGGGAGTTTGAGGTAGTTAGGTCACAACAGTTCCTCTGATTTTATCTCAAACTGCCTTCATCGAAGAAGTTCTGTTCAACATGTGATAAGAACATTAGAAACAGCGTTTTTAAATAGATGTTTTGACATTAAGAATGATATATTTCGACGTATTTGATATGTTGAAATATATGACCCTCCTTCCTATTTGCAGTTTAATTTGAGAAATACCAAAATCAGTTAAATATGCAATTTGGAAGATACTTGCCAAATGAGATCAAGGTTCGACTGGAAAAATATAAATGCCATTTCTAAGCTCACACATCTTAGTGTATTCCATTGCAACCACAAACAAATGGGTGTGATTCAGTCAGTGGGTATGGTTACCTCCAATCTCTGAATAAAACATTTCAAAAAGTCTGCTCTTCCATAAGCTTCACATCATACAAAGGACAGCTTTCACTGTGTTTTCCATTATGTCCACAAGCAAGGGTAGATTTTTTTTGGATGCCAAAGCCTTTTAATAGAAAATGACAGTGATTGCAGATTATTGCTATGGGTTTCTTTTAATTTTTAAACAATTCCACTGCATCTCTGCCCTAGTTCCTGCTCCAGCCTTTGTAATTTTTCATTTTATATTTTACTTCCCCAATTCTATAAATACATCCCATCCAGATAAATAAAGTTAAAAGTTACAGTTACACAGGACAAGTATAAAGTTAAAGTTACACAGGACAAGTCCTCCAGATATAGCTGATATGAGCCAACAGAGCTGATATGGCACAACGTGCGATAAAAGTGCTCCTATCAAATTGTATCTCAAAAACCTAGACCAGGTTCTAAGGCTGTGTTAAGCAATACGTCAGATAGTTGTAAAGATTTGAAGAGGTACTGTATGCTCTCTAAGAGGAGTGTTTTTGAATTTATCATCTAATTTATCTCACCTTGTTCACAAAAAATTCCTACAGGCTGGAAGAATAAGCTTTTCAGCCGTATTTTCAGGTTTGCCGATGACATGTGACCAAGTGAAGGCATAAAGGCTTCCTAATTAATAAAATGACTAAGAAACAGATAAAATGACTAAGTTATAGATAGCTAAGAAATTTTACCAAAAGCTTCATTTTTTTTTTTGATTTAGCAATTTGAGGAGCTTAAAGTTAAGCATATTGTGTTTATGAGGATCTTTTTCATTTTGAAGTTTTAGCACTTCATTAATAGGACTGTTATTAGACATTAGCGGGTACCATTTTCACTGGGTGTTGGACATTTAGTAAAATCATATAAACTCTTTTTATGGTCTGTTTTTCTGTTGGAACGCACTTCAGATGAAGTCAACATTTGCTGAGTAGGGTTAACATTTGTCTTTTTATTGTCATTATTACATTTAGTGATGTGTCAGTTCAACTTGCATATGTTTCTTAATTTCTCACCTCATCGTTCTCATTAAAGTAATTTACACTGAGTTTAACGAAAATGTGCAATTATGCACGAAAAACTTCTTAATTTTAATGTCCTTTTTAGAAAAGAAATGCTGAACGTTCTTATCTAGACTTGGTTGAAACTTTTTCTCAAAGTAAATAAATATGATTCTTCTGCACATCAATCACTTCCTGAGTAACTGAAAAAATTGAGCATGTATATTAAATCCAATTAAACATTGTGATGTTATCCTGCAGTTATGGTATTGATAAAGTGACCAGCATACACCAGAAAATTTAATGAGATACCAGGAGCAAAAAATGTAATGCTACATGACACTTAATGTCACTGAATATAATCATCATGCATGTTGCTACTGGTCACTGCATATGTTGAAATATGTTGAAATATAATCATCATGCATGTTGCTACTGGTCACTGCATATGTTGAAATATATAAAACCAGAGCACTGTGCTCAGGTTTTTATTTTGAATCTGTTTTATTACATCTATTTTTCTAATTGCTGCTTGAGACTAAAAATATTGATTTTATACTTCACTGGTTGCATTTGCAGGTTGAAAAACATTGCCTTAAATAAATCGTCATCTACTTTTGGAAACTAAGAGTAAAACCTTGTGTGGGTAGTAATGACCCAGAATAATGCTATCCTTATTTAGGCATGGGAAGTGGGGTGCTATTTGTGTACTCCCTCCTTTCCCTACACCAGTCACCAAAGCCTGACAGTCAAATTGTATCTACATGTCCAGGGTGCAAGGTCTACTCTCCTGCTCAGGGAGGAGGCCTGTAGGGGAAAACATTCCAATTATAATTATATTAACCAACTAAACTTTCATTTAAAAACATGAATCAGGAGTCAGAGATCATCAGAAATGTGAGGAAAATAGCCAAAGGATGTGTCTACATGGAGTCATTTTTATTCAACTTCCTTAGCATGAATCTGACAATCCATGGTTTTATTTAGCTCTGTTGCTTTTTAATTCATCATTTCCTTATTCACTCTCTTTTGTATCTCTTCTATATCTTCTATATAACTTCTATATCTCTGAGCTTCTATTATATGAATGCTGAATAATCCTTTATGCCTACAGGAATAAAGGGTTTAGCAAAGCCCTTCCTCTGTCTGATTCTTATTTTTTTATGCCATCTCTGTATTGTTTTTCTTTTTTTTTTTTAAAGGAAACCTTATATGTATGGAATGAACCAAAATGGTGCATTAAAGGAATTTCTTTGCCTGAGAAAAAATTGTCAACCTGTGAAACAGTTGACTTTTGGCTAAAAGTGGGAGCAGGTGTGGGAGCTTTCACAGCTGTTTTGCTGGTGGCTCTAACTTGCTATTTTTGGAAAAAGAATCAGAAGTAAGTAACCTCATTGGGACATATAAGAATTGAAGGATATTTTTTGGTGAAAATTTTAGACTTAATCATTATATTTAATAGTTTCTTTCAGAGACACAAGGAGTTTCTTCTAGTGAAGGAGTTATAGGAAAGGCCTTTAAGAAAGCAAATGTAAATAATTATAATTATGACAATATAGAAATCATAGAACATCAGAGAATACTGAATTTGATCCATTTAATACAAAACAAAAATGATGACTCAGATCTGAGATCAGAAAGTCAATTTTTTTTGTGTCTATTTTTTTTGTCCTGACATGATGTATTCTTGCCCCAACTTTTCTTTTTTTTCCCCTTTTTAGCTTCTTTTGGGAAGATATTTGCAAAGAAACAGACTAATTGTATAAGCAGATAGCAGCTTTATTTACTCAAGAACTCCAAGAATCTAGAGTTGAATATTGAGTCTAACTTCTGATTTTAAATTGCGGTGTTACATGATTCAACTCTTTTAAGATGATTTGTGTCAGTAGGGCTGTGAAGGTTCTATATGATAATACCTCAAGACAGTTGGAATACCTGGAGTTTTCTAATAGAAAGGGATGAGTGATAGAAATGGTAAAGACCAAATAAATTGCCTATATGATATTCTTAGTCTTATTACCTAAACTTTGGAACACTGTATGGTAAATTAGCTTCCAAATATTTATAAATTAAGAAAATGCATTTAGAACTCAAGGTTTCTCTTTGTTTTTCAAAAATTCATAATTGGACAATTTAGTCCATGTAAAAGGATGATAGAGTTAACTGTATTGCATTGCTCCTCTGAAATCCTGGAAAAGATTTGTGTGTAGATGGTACAAAAATGAGAACATATAGTGCAATAGCTATAGGTGAGATAAATTTGTGGGTAGAGCAACTGTACTACAAGACAGCTTAAGGAGTTTGTATTTGACCACTTAAAATAAGTACTCTTTTATATTAAGCTCCCACTTTATCTATTTATTTACTACTACTTAGACTGGAGTACAAATATTCCAAGTTAGTAATGTCAACGAATTCAAAAGAGTGTGAACTCCCAGCTGCAGACAGCTGTGCTATCATGGAAGGAGAAGATAATGAAGAGGAAGTTGTATATTCCAATAAACAGTCACTACTGGGAAAACTCAAATCCTTGGCAACAAAGGTGAGAGTAGAATTTTAACCTGGTCATACTGTGCATTTATAAATTACAGGCCATACTCAGCTAATAGTCGCATTCCTGCAAGCCCTGTCATTCAGCGTGCGTGTCTATATTTCTGTCAGCATTTATCTAACAAAAATGCTCTTAGAAGTACATAAGAATATAAATACAAGACTATCCACTGCAGCATTGTTTTTGCTGGTTAACCAAGCAGAAACAACCTTAAACACTGTAAGTATGGAGTTAGATAAGAAATGTTCATTTAGCAACATAATGGAACACTGTGTAACCCTGCAGCTATTAAAGATATAAATAACCAATGTCAGTAGTTCTAAGATAAAGTAAAAATAACACATAGACTGTCACATTTCTAATAAATATACATTTATGTTAGTATTTGCATAACAAACTACTGACAGTAGTTGCTTTTTGGCAGTTTGAATTAATGGGTGTCTTAGTCTTTGAAATAAGACATTTTTGTCATGTTTGAATTTTCACAAAGATAATGTATTATAATATTGAAAAAGAAAATTTTAATAAAAAATATCATGTGCATTTATACTTTCCTTTAAAAAATTTTATAACAAGATTGCTTCATGCAGAGAAAATAAAAGTTACGTAAACTGCTGAGGTAGCAAATGCACCTTATCAGATGCCAGCACATTTGTTGGCTTTAAATGATTACCATATCCATACAAATAACATGAAGCCTTTGGTATTATTTGTAAACACATTTTATTCACGTTCTTCACTATTGACTTAAAAGATAACAATGATCGGCTTACTCACTCAGGATTAAAAACAAAATCAAACAAGAAAATATGCATTTGAAATGATTTTCAGGAGGAAGGACAAGTTGCAAAAGATGAATTTATTGAAAGTATTTTAGTAACCAATTCATTTTACTCCTAATTTAACCACATACATATATTATAGAGGATCACTTAAAAATAAAATGACCAAGCCATATTCCTCTTCTACCAATGATTATTTAATTATTGTTTCCTTCTTTTTATTTATTTTTTAAATCCTCACCCAAGTATGTTTATTGACTTGAGAAGGGGGAGAGAGAGGAAGTAAAAGAGAGAGAGAAAGAAACATCAATTGGTTGCCCCCTGTATGCACCCAGGCCGAGGATTGAATCTGCAATTTAGGGATATGCCCTGACTAGGAATTGAACCCGCAGCCTTTACGTGTATGGGCTAACTCCCCAAGCCGCTGAGACACACTGGCCGGCTATATTTCTTTTCTTAATATGGTAGTATAGGAAGGATACTCTTACTATGGAATAATAATAATATGAAGCGCTTGTCAAGAACTGATATATTACCCTCCTTTCAAGCTAACAAATGAGCCTGCCACAATTTCATAAACACTTTAGAAGACATGAGATTCCTATTCAGGGACCAAGGATATTTTAGCACTCACAACAGAAGCGCTAACTAGAGTATCAGCATTTAAACCAATTCCCGAAGTTTCACTTGCCACAGATTTAAGGAGAATGGCAACCAAATTTATTGTTAGAGCATCTGGTGGGTATGGTCGGCCCAGTAATCAGTTAAGTTTAATGCACTTACAACAGTTTCAGAGATTAACACTAAGGCATTTTTCTTTCATGGAAAGGTGACAGGGTGCCTCTGGGGGGAAAAAATAAAGTTCACTAATGTCCCTCCATTTCCCCTACCTTTTACTGTCTAAGGTACCTCCTCACAGTGCCTTATTATTAGATTGTTGTTGTTCTTCTGCCATAACATTAGTTTTTCCCAATTTAGTAGCTAAAACTTCACCTTATTTATACTCATCCCCTTTTGGCACCTAAACCTATGTTCCAGAACATTCAGGTGAAAGAGGGACAAGGGCATTTAAAAAAACATATGACACCAAGTGTGTCCCCCATCTTTGTCTATGTAGGCATAGAAGGACTTGATGAGCAGTTTGTTTATTTATTTATTTTATTATTATTTTTTAATATATATATTTTATTGATATTTTACAGAGAGGAAGGGAGAGAAGCAGAGAGCTAGAAACGTCAATGAGAGAGAAACATCGACCAGCTGCCTCTTGCACACCCCCTACTGGGGATGTGCCTGCAACCAAGGTACATGCCCTTGACCAGAATGGAACCCGGGACCCTTCAGTCCGCAGACCGACGCTCTACCACTGAGCCAAACCAGTTTTGGCGATGAGCAGTTTATTTAACCAAGTGGTCCATATCCTTTTGGTCTGGGATCATGACAATCCAATAAGATAATACAAGTGGCTAAACCAGAATTATATTTGAATCTTCTAAGCTTTTTCTGGAGTGCTATCACCCTAGGGGTTGCTGTTGGGGTAAATAAGGACACATCATACCTAGGAGTGTTCAGAGCAGAATCTTATCATGTATATAACCTTATGTACCCTCAATTAGTATCTTTCCCCCAGGTCTCCTTTCCATGGAGTAGCTAAGAGAAGATGATGCTTTTCTGGGGACAGCCATATTTAATAACCACACTGCCTTACTAAGGTGTGTGGACCAGGAAGAAGTGAGGGAGAGAGAGTTGGAGATATTTGAGTCCATTTTTGAGAAGGCCATTCCAATGCTCAATAGCACTATATTTCTTTAGATGGGAGGCCCACTAAACACTTTATTCTCAGCCCATTACTGGGTATCTTTTGTGATGAAAAGGACACCATTGCCAGACTTTCAATGGTCCACAAAGCCACCAATATTAAGCAGGTTTGTTTCAAGAGCCATAATAGTATGGCTGGAGTTAGCAGATCATACTGGAACAGAAGCACCATACCTGAACAGGTGTCCTAAATGGGTGAGGTACCACTCTTAGCCCAGAGAGGTGGACAGAGATCTGATGTAATCTATTTGACAGGAAAACCGGTCAGCTTTTGGCATGCATCCCCAGTCTGGCATGTGGTGGTAATTTCTGCATTAAAAAAAAAAAAATAGAGTGCTTCATACTCTGACTATGCAGGCAGGTTCATTGCTTTCCTGGGCAGGATGATGGATCCATGCATCATTCTGGGAGACTGTCTGGTGCATATCTATCAGATACTTAATTCTATTTGGTATTTTCAGATGATGGGACCTTAACTGTGGGCATCTACATGAGTGACCCAGATGATTTGTTAAGCACCTAAGATTTGTTTCCAGGGTTTGATGCCCCAGAGAAGGGTGACTAATATACCAGCCTATAATTTTTCCAAGTGTCAGGCCAAACAGTTTACTGACTCTTAATAGCTTAAGTTAGTCAAAATATAACAAGTCCTATCAAGAGATACTTTGACTATAGCCATGAGAATGGCTTTGGGTTCTGCCCAGGGGCCGAGCGATCATTGTAGGAGGTTTTCAGTTATGCATACCTGGTGCTGAGATCAGATAGCTGCATCAGCTCCCTGGGGTTTCAGCTCAACCAAACCATCAGCGAACCAGGCCCAGACATACAGTAGGACATCAGTGAATTGAGAGCTCCGTGGAGCTAGTGACTTTGTACTGACTGGTGAGATAGAGAGTAAAGTTTTCCCCAAAGGGTGTGCTGCCACATTTTAATGTGGGGATTAGATGCTGCTGGGGCAGACCAGCTGTATCCTTGAACACACTACTTATACTTGGCAAGTGAAGCTTACTGTGCCCTTTCAACCTTGTTGATTCACCACGAATGGGACTGCCAGACTTCAGAGTCACAAGATGTGCATGAGAATGGCATTTCGTTTGGACAGAAGCTCAGTAATGAGCTTGTCATTGTTTTTTAAAAGAGCAGCCATGTCAAGGAGGCGAGGAGTCTAAAACCCCAAAGGATGCTTCTGGGGAAAGCCTGCTTTCCGTCACCAGAGTTTCTAATGCGCAAAATCTTAATCATAGTGGGTTGTATCACAAAGTAGTCATTAGGATTGTGAGGCCACTAAGGTAGAAAAACATGACTTAGCTTGTTGGGCAGCTCTTGACACAGCCTTGGTTTGGATCCACTTTGTGGGGTAGTGGACATAAAAGAGCAAGTAAAATACTCAAATGACGCCCTACTGTCTCCAACTGCAAAGAGTCCAGTGAGGTGCTGCTTATTTTTCTTTGAGTGCTGGCTAGACTTAGCACTGTGGATCTGCCCCAGTAGCCTCAAGGAACTTAATTTAGCAGGTCCCTGGATTCTGCTGGCAGATGTCTGGTAACACAGGCAGTTCTGTTAAGACAGCTTTCTGACTTGACATCAACAGGAAATCATTCCATATAGTGACAACTTTGGGCATCAGAAGTGGTATTTGTCAACCTCATGGAATGGCTGACTGTGCAATCCTGACTCACATGTTTGTTGCAAATGGCAGCGAAGTTAGGCTGCTCTTGACCAAGGGAAAGCTCCTCTGACATTTATGAGGCAAGGAAGCAAAATCATATACCATCCATTCCTATTACATATTCAGACATAGAAGCAGGGACAGCAGCATCTTGAATGGGCATGCAGAACTCATTGCACTAAGTCACATTATCTTCATTTCCCCACTGCAAACCTGTTTAAGCCCCATTTTTTGAATTTCATATCCTTTTGCTGATTTGGGCTTGATTCACATATTGTAGTCTTTTTTTAAAAATAGGAATCCACCTTATTTCTTGCTCAAATATCAAAATATCTCAGTTAATATGCTGTTTTAAAGTAAAAGGTAGGAAAAATGTCCAGAAGGGGTGATCATATTCATCTATCAAGATTCTGTTGGGTCAATTTAGCATTCTCCAGTGACCTTTCACCTTGAAACCCAATCTGAGGCAGTAAGAGCTCAAATACTAGTCCTTGCCACACTGAGTTTTCCTATGGGAATTGAAACAGGTCTCTTTTGCAGCCCTTTTCCTCTCCCCTCCTCACCCCCAGAAAATCTTCTCAAGAAAAGGTCACAGAATCTCAGCTTTCCTTTCTAGTACACGGCAATACCTGGCCTTTCCTGTAATATACTTTGAGCTCCTTGAGGGCAGACATTTTGTATCCCTAAAGTCTAGTCCTGTTCTTGTATAACACAGTGGGTACTTAATAAACATTTTAATTACCAATGGTTATTTAAAAAATTAAGTCTGGTAAACATGAGACTCCAGGCAACTCTCACAGAGCCGGTGAGTTCTAGTGCAGAGATTTGCAATCTGCTTTCCCCAGGACTTGTCATCTGTGCAAAGGCTGGGCAAAGCCGTAGGTTGGTGTGCACACTGTGATTTTTTTTTTTTTTCTATAACCCTGTCCCTGTAGCCTTAAAGCTTGTCTGAAGTCTTGGACTTCTCCACTCAAATGAGAGACAACACCAAAGCAACCTCTTTCTTCCTGACAGATTCTCAGTGTCAGCTTTCTATTATTTTCTCATTTTACTTGCCTACTTTAGAACACATTCAGTTGCACCTAGGGCTGGTCTGCCTCCTATTTCCTTTATTTAAAAAATAATCCTTGTCCTCTTTATCTTTATTCCCTTCGATAGCATAGTTCCTTGTCTCATTCCAACAACCTTCAGAAAGCTTTTCCTGACTTTAACAGTGAAAACATTGGGAGAGATTGCACCTTATTTCTCTTTTTCTCCATTAAAGAAGAATTACTTATTTTAATTACGTTTTAAAATAATTTTTATTAAATTTGTTGGAGGTGACAGTTAATAAAGTTATATAGGTTTCAAGTGTATAATTCTATAATATATCATTGGTATATGGTATTGTGTGTACCACCCAAAGTCAATTCTTCTGTCACCAAATATTGGCCACCTTTACCCTTTATTCCCCCCCACCCTACTCGCTTTCCTGCTGATAACCACCATACTGTTGTCTATGTCTATGAGTTTTTATTTGTTTTTCCTGTTTATTCATTTGTTGTTTTCAGTTTTATATCCCACATATGAGTAAAATCACATAGTTCTTGACTTATTTTGCTTAGCATGATATTCTCTAGATCCATCCATGTTGGCACAAATGGCAGTATAATAGGCTACATTTTTAATGTGTTATATAACAAACACCAGCAGTGATATATTTGAGTTAAAAATTTTTGATTTATGATCAAAGAAGACTTGTTAAAACAAATTATCTATGTCTTTGTCTTATTTATTTCTTATATTTAGCCTATGTTATCTTGAGAATATTTAGTTTCTGTCAGTTCTAGTTTGTCCACAATTCACATGGCAAGGTCATCTATTTCAACACCCAGGTCAAATGTCCCCTTAGGAAGATCTCAGTGGGTATTCACAAGAATAACAGCTACATCTTTTGGTATCTATTGCAGTCACATGTTTGCTCCTATCTTGGATTGTCTGTCTTAATCTTCTGGATACCAAAAGTATCCTTCAGGGCAGGCCTGTTGTCTGTTTTATATTGGACACCCTTATTTAAATGTAAAATTCCTACTTATGAGTGGCAGGTACCTAGATTAAAATGACTGCCAGAACTTTTCTTCTGGACATGTAAGATCCTAAAATCTTATTGGAATTTGAATGAGTTGACTTTGTTTTAATATATTTCCTTCATAGGAAAAAGAAGAACATTTTGAATCTGTTCAACTGAAATCCTCAAGATCTCCAAATATATGAAAAGACTGTGCTGTAGCTTTCAGACTGATGAATAAAGAAACCTGCTCTCTAGTTTTACAGGACCATAGTCTAGAGCCCACCCTCGTACCTGGCACTTTGGTGATGTTACAAAGAAGGCCATGCTGCTGAAAAGGGAAGGAGGTTGAAATGTTTGATTGCCTTACCACATGGTCAAGTATCTTGCCAAAAATAGGAAAGCAAATGGTTTGGGTCTCAACTGAAGAGGAAGCTCAACTCAGGAAGAGACTTATCTGTATATACACACAACTGAGAGATTCGTTATATACACCTAACTGAAAACCAAGGTTAAGCCCACCAGTGCACTGTTGATGCATGCCATATAATTAATGGGTAACTTTTATTATTTATAACTTCTACATAAAAAGTGTGCTATGGAAGGCAAAAGGTAGCATATGCATTGTGATCCCATTTTTGTCATTTCTTTGTTTACATTTTAGGGAGATTTGAAAACTTTTTAAAGGTATAGTCATTTCCCCCCCAATATTTATTTTCCTGACAAGACCTTGAAACATCTTTTTTTTTTTTTTTTTTTTTTTTTTTTTTTTTTTTTAAATTAAAAATGATGAACAAAAAAAGACAATAAACTTTTTGTTTTTTTTTCATAGGGCATCTTTCTTGACTTCAGAAGCCTAAGTAAGCAGTAATTTTTTAGGAAGAATCAGCATGTGCTTGGGTTATCAAAACTTATAATTGCCTTTGAAATTCCATTCTTGTTGGAACTGGTAAGATGAGCTTGACTAGAGGTGTTGAAGGAATATTTAAGGAGGGGAAAGCAAGGAGAAATTTTAACTTTCCATTAATACAAACAAGTGATATTATCATAGAAGTCAAATGGCTTAAACAGTTTATGCAATGCTCAAAGCATGATTTAAAATGAGTGGGAAAGCCTGTTTATCAAAACACCTTGCAAAATCATGAAGAAGAAAGTGGGATGACCTGTGTACAAGTACAGATAACTGTACAAAGGTATTGGAATAATTTTGTGGTCTCCAGAAAATGGCAGTGGGATATTTGCTCTTGGTCAAGCATCAAGAGATCATTCTGCTACAGGATGTAGAGGATTATGACTTCACAGAGTTGTGTGTGTGTGTGTGTGTGTGTGTGTGTGTGTGTGTGTGCATTTTTTAAAGTCAATAAGGCAGGTATTCAATTTTAGAAAATTGCTTATAATGGTATTCATAAGAAGAATGTGGTTATACCATTAACAGTCATGAAATAAGTGTTGTCATTCTTATTCAAAAGTGATCCAGATAATTATGATATTTCCTATGATGAACAGATTGCTAGTATTAGCATGACTTAAATATTCTTTACTGAAAGCAGTTTGAAGTTGGATTTGACCAATTTTTGTTTTAGAACCGACAGAAAGGGGACTTTCCTGTCCACTGATGATCTAAGGTGCTCTGGTTTGTTTCCAATCAACAGTAATCTTTATAGACCTTAACCATGTTTTTAAAAAGACGGGGGTGGGGGGATTGGCTGAGAGAAGCAGGGCACGTGAGCAGGGTGTGTTGAATGTTTTGCCCCACATCTTTCAATAAGGTATGATTTTGTAACCTTCCATTTAGCAGGTTATGTCTTTGTTTTTGTGGAACGTGGGAGAAAAATAAAGAATTGTATTTATCTGGTTGGTGGGTAAAACACTGGATGATGCTGTTATTGTTGAATGAATATGTGTTTTGGGTATATATTTACTGTTGGATTCATGGGTATATTGTCATTATTTTATTGTTGGATGTGAGACTCAAGGAGGGCATCACTTAGTATAAACCTTTTTCATGTTTAATTTTTAAAAATCTTATGATAAAGAAGAAATTATTTTGGCATTTTTTATCTTACTAACAGTGCTGATGAGTCTGTCTCCATTTTTGGTCAAAATTTAAACAGAAGAAGAAAATACATTTGAAATGCACCCTTTTAGAAGACCCTGGGCTAAGTTGTACAGCTGGACAGAGTCAGGAAGTTCCCACACAGTCACCTGTCCCTCTCTCTTCATCTTCGGCTGTGCTCAACATGCATGTTCTAAGCCATAGAGATAATTGGGATTTGCTCCCAGGTAGCTTCTTTCTTCTCCTGTCACTGGACTAAAATCTCTGACATGTCAAAAATGCCTTAAATTTTAATGAACTCTCTGAAAATGTAGTTGGGATGGAAGAATTTATTTATTTCTAATTTTAGACATTAAATAGATTCTGTCAGCTCAGTCCCATCTTTGGAATGGAGCTACCTTTTTGTCTGTGGATCCCAGTGCTTGTCAGTTTATTCCAAGCACTAAAGAAGCATGGCAGAAAGAGTAGTATGGGGAAACTATTCCGACCAACCCTGGCTATAAAATTCACTTTAGTTTTAGGTTTTGCCTTTGCAAAGCTCAGTAGAATGCTGAAGGGCTTAAAGAAATTAATCATGTTTCTATGACTTTTAATTGACATTTATTGTTTCTTTTCCCCCCTGAAGTGGTAGAAGTAGTTATTTCTTATTTTACTAAAAGGCACAGTTTTGAAGCCTTAAATACTTCATTAAGTCAACTGCCACCTATAATATCTCTTCAGCACTCTATCAAAATATATTTAAGTCAGCGTTCCACTGGATGAGACCATGTCTTCTATGGATAAAGTATATCATGCCATTTAACAATGTTGAGCAATTTGATATGTGTTCACTTGTTTTAAAAGACTGAATTTTATTCTTGTTGACTTTTTTTCCTCTTTGGTTACTAGCAATTAAGTCCTTTCCAGGATTAAAAATGTTGCATAGTATTTTTGTGTAGACTTTCATCATTGTTTTCTTCCCAGGGAGAAAAGGTGTTTAAATGGTTATGTGGAAGAATGCTTGGGTCCAGTCATTTACCTATCGGGGTCTCCAGGTTTCCAGGTGGTGGGTTATGATTGACTCTGGTTTTCAAAATCAATGTGATCAATTGTCCATTGACCTATATCAGTGCTACTTTCTGCGGTACCCAGTCATTCCTAATGGGAGACTAATTTCCTGTGAATTAGGGTGGGAAGATGAGTTCCCTGGCAAGTTTAAAGTCAGTGTGTTGCTCACATTTATCTTTTTACATAAAAGATATGGAGAGTAGATCTTTAGAGAACTTCAAATATCCTCACAAATATTTTATAGTAACCTGAATATTTTCTCAGGTTTATAGGCCCATATCATAAATTGAGGTTGCCCTAAAGAAAGAGTCCCAAGGGGAATAAATTAAAAAAAAATATATAAAAGCCTCAACATCCAACTCATCTCTTGGATGTTAAAATGAACTTCATAGTAATTGGTTAGAGATTACACTCTGCTGGATTTTATTTCTTTTAGGTTAACATTTCAGATGTGTTCATTTTAGGATCATCAGTGAAGGAAATAAAACTTGATTATGGGGACAAATAACTGGAAGTCAACTGATATTATTATTGTAACTGTCTAGGTCAGAAGCCAGCAAACTTTTTCTGTTGAAGGCCAGATAGTAAATATTTTTGGCTTTACAGTACATGTGGTCTAATTGCAACTCCTCACTGCCATTGCAGCATGAAAGCAGCCACAGACAACATGTAAACAAGTAGGTGTGGCTGCATTCCAATAAAAGTATTTATGTACACTGAAATTTGAGTTTCATTTGAATGTCATTCCTCATTTTAAAAAAGAATATTTTATTTTATTTATTTATTTATTTTAGAGAGAAGAAGGGAAACAAAACATAGATGTGAGAGTACAACATTGATAGGCCACCTTCTGCACACTCCTGCAGACTCCCCTCCAGGGATGGAGCCACAACCCAGGCATGTATCAGAGCTGGGAACCGAACCAGCAACTTCTCAGTCCATGGGACAGCACCCAATCAACTGAGCCACACTGGCCATGGCAATATCAATCCTCTTTTTATTTTTTCTCCCAACTATTTAATCCTGAGCTATGAGGCATTCTTAGCTCAGGATTTGACCTGTGAGCTCTGGTTTGCTGACCTCTGGTTTAGATCACTAAAACCCACAAGCAAAACTGTCCACCCTTTAGGAGCTACCACCTCAAACATTTCTCAAGTCTTTAGAAGTGTCCCAAAGGAAAATAACCTATCACCCTCCCTAGATGATTTAATCAATAGTTAAAGACAAAGCCAGATACTCAGATTCATAGTTCCTCTTATAGTTCTTGGATTTGGTTATGGTTATCGGTCAGCAACTGGTAAAACCAAAGCAAGTGAACTGGCTCAGAGTAAGCCAGCAAGATGCATTTAAATGCCTTTTCTCATTTGTTGCTAAGGTAAGTGGATTTGGAGATAATACTCAATTTTGTATACAGATCCATTTAAAGTAACCATTTGGAAGTGGAGGGTATTGGAGTTTCAGTGCAGATACTAGAACCCCAACCCTGGAGAGGGGCTTTGCATTCAAACAGGGCATACCTGCATCCATACACATTTACCAAATCCTGTTTTAAGACTTACAGAGCTGCAAAAGACATTTAGGATTCTTTTAATGATTGGTGTGGGTTAAGAAAGAGATCTCCAATTTTCTTGAATAAAATGTCCCAATAAGGCTTTTAATTTGCTGTATTTTTTTTCTCATCTTATTCATAACTCTTGGAAGAAGAGCTTTGTCTAAACTATTTGTTGGATTCTGGTAGATTTGGTTTGGAGGGGGGCAAGATTTCCTTTATCTCAGATGTCTTGGGTTAAAGAAATGAGTGAAACCAGAGGGAATTACATAAATCTAAACTTCCTGTCACAGAAAAGAGAGATATTTGTCTTATCCATGGGTCTGGACGTTTGCTGGGAGAGCTGTGGTGGTTGCAATCCCCATAGGTGCCCCATCATCCTGGCGCCTCACCCTTGTTGGCTGCTCCATGCTTGTAGCCTTTGCTGTGAGCACTGAGGCCAAAGTTATCACCAGCAGGTAAGTGAGGAAAGGAAGCTACCCTAGGGAAATGTGGAGTTGAAGACTGAACCACCTCTTTCTTAGCCACTCTCTCAATGTGTCCTCTGTGTAGTCTGCAAACCAGCTTGCCTAACATCTTTGTATTTTACTATGATAAACCTGCGTGGACAAGAGAATAGATTGATATTTAAACTATAAAGGACACAGAGCATCTCAGAAACTGTAAACACTTGGAAAACCAATGATAGCCCACCATATTGTTAGGTTCTGATATTTTTTTAATCACCGGTATACATCATTCTGCTTGAGTTCCTTAAATTCAGGAAGTTTTTGCAAAGATGGATCAGCTCAACCAGTTTTATATTTTGGAAGGATGAATGTTACTGGAGTAAAAAAAAAAAAAAAATCAATACCAAACCTATTTGTTTGAAATGGCTTATGTAAAAGAGACTTTTTAGCAGCTATTTTCCATGTATACTCTGAATATTTTTTTTAAACATTATTTCTAGGGATCACATGTTAGATGATGCACTTTGAAACTGGAAACAAGGCTTGTGCCAGGGCAGGAGAAAATGACGAGAGCTTTCAGTTAGTGTATTGTCAGTGTCCAGGCTGGAAATAGAGTGGCCAGAAATCAAAACTCAGCTCTCACAAACAATTTTCTCAAGATGCACCCACAGCCTAGTTATCTTGTTTAAAAAGATCTATGATCAATTTGATTGTGTTAGGCATGAGCTGTGCCTCTGAACAACCCATCTGATATTGCCTGCCTCAGACTGTCACCTTCCATCAGTGGATTGACTTTATCTTGAGCAGCTGCTCATTCTGAGCACACTGATCTAGCACTCCTGCCAGTTTCAGTCACAGCCTAAGTCTTTTTTGCCATCCAGCGCTATTGA